AAGTAGCACCTCTACCATAATGTAAGCAATGGAGTTTAAACCGGTTTGTATGGTAACCTACCGTTCTTCTGGAGTTTATGTAGGATGCTTTCTTTGACGTCCTGCAATTGTGAATATAAGCCTTCAAGATATGTATGGGTGGGCTCTCTCGCTCCATCATACAAGGCCTGCTGGTTTGTTTTCTCGATGATCAACTGTAGCTGTACTTGTTTTGTAAGTACCTTATCACTTGGACATTCGCTGTCGTCACTTAATCTTTGGAGGCAGTCATCCATGTGCGGCGTCCAGCGTAGCGCGTCGATTTTCTGCAGAAAGGAAGATATTCTGTGAGTAGTGAGTTTATGATCTGAACACATATTAAATGGTGAGTATACATTGATGTAATTAGAAAGCAGCTAAGTACAGCTCGCCGTTCCTCCATTGTTCGTGGTGTAGCAGGTCTTGAATACTTCCTATTCCAACACAGCGTCAACTCGGGATCTTTAAGAACTGGTTTACTGAGTCCTAAATCAAACACCAATGACACCGCAAGTTGAGTAAATAGTGAGAGAAAAGGTTCGCGCTGGACTTGGTAGGTAGCCCTGAGAGATATTAGTACGCGACATTTTGAGCCTAGCTAGCGAGGGAACACTATACCAGCCAATGAACGCTAGGAGCCCCAGCAGGAGGTCGATACTCTTTACAGATCGGATTATCATCTCTTGTGCTACGGTTTGGCGTATTTTTTTGCCTAAAATCTGTTGCTGTAACGTCGACTTAGAACCCGTTGCCATTATGCAAAGCCATAAAAACGGCTTTTCTTCCTGGAGCTGACGGGCAGTTGTAGTAGACGGAATGTAAACAAATGGAAAATATTTTAACTTGTAGGTCTTGAAATTCAAAAGATACTCTTCTGCCTCGACTAAGGAGGGTTCATACGAAACCGTATAATCAGAATCCGTAGTCTGGATCATTATATTGTAAAGATGATTATTTGGGTCAGTGGAAGGTGACCCTTCTTTAGATTGATGATGAGAGTCGGCATTCAATTCTGCCTGGATACTGTTATTAGGTGAAGAGGTGCCCATAGAGGCTGAGGGCCGGGGAGATGCAACGGCGGAAGTACCCGATGCACCGGTTTTAATAAGTGATATCAATCCATCTAGCTTCTCTTCAAGCCGTGCCGTCTTCTTCGTTTTGGTCACGGCAGGCCGTTTATGGTTACGTCGCCGAACCGACTCTCCCGGGCGACATTCTCTATTTAGTCGATAGCACCTAGCCCTATTAATTGTCATATCTTGAAGGAGAGAGGTGAAACTATACCTACCTCTCACAAGGACCTCCAACTGGACGAATAATACACTTGCACTTGGACTGGGCGCAGCTCATACAAGCGTGACCGTAAGGTGCCGGAGTACCGGAAGGGGTTAATGAGTTCTGATCCATACTAGGCTATCGGAATATTGATACAAGAGGAAGATACATTAATCATACTTTAGGTTACTGGAGAGGTAAAATGTATATATAAATCCATATTGCTAGAAGAGAGCTTGTGTGGATGTTCCTTGATGATCATGAATAATTCGTTAAAGTTCAATTCAAGTAAAGTACCGGCTTGTCGCCGTAAATATCATAAATAGGAGACAGCTTAATAAGCAGTATCGATTGGATTTGATTGGACAATTAAGAATTTATGTATTGCACATCTTTATGAAGCGTAATAATTATGAGATGCAGATATCAGCTGGCAGAAGTGGCTGGACAGGTGGCACACAGCTGGTATACAACAGGTCTTGAATCTCTAGGTTAGCCAATTCAATACGTAACTCTGTATGTATCGCGAGGCAAAGAGTCAAAGTATATGAAGTCTACCTTAGATAAGCCAACTTATTATATTTATCTAACTTCATCCCATTAGTCTCCAGTGTCTTGAACCACCTCATCTTGGGTTAAGTTAGGTAGTTTATGTCCATATGTACCTAATTTGTTCCATCAAGGAATATGACTTCGACGTTTAAGCCATCTTATATTCAATAGCATATGTATGATAGTATGCCAAGTGAGTAAAACTCCCTAATAATTTAATACATTTCTATGTCCATAGATGCGAGACGGCCCGCTACTAGTCTATACCCTAGTATATGCCCTATCGAGATGGACAATCCTAGACTCATAAACAACTTACACATTAACTGGGATATAACAACATCTGTATCGTAAGTAGTCACTGGTGTAGGCGAAGATTATTAATATAGCCTTATTAAACGAAGGACTTAGTGGAAGCCTTAAAAAGTTGGTTTTCGTTGGAAGGAGACGAGGCTCAAATGAAGATCTTCCTCTAAATTATTTAATGTAGGCGACTTACACGGTCACTACGACTTTAGCTACGTACATCGTGGGCACCTTGGGAAGAATTCTTGGTCTTACTCTAGCAATTAACTTATATGGTTCCCTACTCTTTTGTAAACTTAGTCATAGATATCGTATAATCTTCTTCCCGTCATTTACAATGCCATAAGTTGCCACTATCACGAGAGGAAAGGATAACATGGTATGGAATATTAAAGATCGGCGCTCCTCGGTGGAAATGACGTTTAACCCGCGGGTCGGACCGGTATTTGATATTTTACCCGGCCGAACGGAGCTCCACCGATTTCCCGGGGAAATCTGGACCACGGTCGAAGACAGGTCTGGCCTTCGTGTATTATGTTATCATCTTCCCGGTTCTGCCCGATGATATTTTACTACTGCAACAAGACGGATTAGGTCCCCTGATGCTAATCGTTATCTCATGTTAGCGCTTGATGACCTCACGAGAAGTAATTGATAACATCTCGACTCTGATTCGAGGGTACATCATTAACGAAATGCCCCAGTTTTTTTTCTCGATATTATAGATGTTGGAAGATGGTAGCTAAATGATCGCATTGAATAATACTAACCGTGCACAAGTTCACGTGGCCGTCCGAGTTTTCTCGTAATCTTAATATTAGGTGTCATCTATTACGTTGTACAAACCAACTAAAGTCGTTATTTTGATCCGGCCTCTATCCATCGTGGCTGAGACGCTTCGTGGTTTACGTAAAGAAGCCAATTTAAAAAGAACCATATGATCTTATCATTTCTTAATCCTGGAGGCTTAGATACGATAGTTATTTGCATAGGACCCAGAATACCCCAGAAAGACGGAAGATGTCGGAATACCTGGCAATTCAACTAGCCCAATTACGGGATGAACTTCGGTAAGGTATAATGGACGAAAGGGGAAAGATACTACTACGTATCCAGGCCCTAGATGAGCCTAGATTTATGAACGGCACGTTGGATGCGGATATGCGACGCAAGGACGATTACGCAGTGCATCTCGAGTCCCAGTCTGTTAATTGGTCACACCGCCGATCATGGCAGCTCGAAAAGACCTTACCCAAGTCCCGAATGATCCCCCATGCAGCAGGGTTAAACGGGATGGAAAATATCGGATCTCTATTCGTGTATATACGTACATTTTCATGCAGGGGCCGTTATAAACAACTTCCGAACAGTAGAAGTTCCTTTCAGTTGGTTTCAATCAATAGCAGGGTTAATAGGTAGTTCGGTATAATCGAATCTACATGTATTGGTAGAGAACTTCTATAAGGTCTGGGTACATAATACCGTAGGGTGAAACCTCGGAAAGTTAAGGGCTTAATATCGAAACATAGATTCTCCGATAAGACATGTGAAAGTTCAATGTTGCACTTCCATAGATGTACATAGGAAGATATTCTCCTAATAGATTTATAACATGCTTAAATTCTTAATAAAGTCGTCTAATGTTTGAATCTAACTACCCTACGATGCGAATGGCCTCGAATATTTCCTTTTTGCCTAGGTAGTTACATGTATAAGTAGTTTTATACCGACGTCATTTCTTTTTTAACTGGCATTAGTTCCAACGTAACTTCATTTAGGTCTTGTATGTATAATAAATAAATTCAATACTCCCGAGGCTCTTAAAGGTACATCATAATTGTACCTAAGCTTGCCTTGTCTCTTGCCCATGTACCCGGGTCTACCCTTCTAGTTAGCTTCTATGTGGGGCTATTGAAAAGACGGGGAAGTACGTACTAGTACCCCGCCATTTGCCGATTTCTCCAACTTCCATTCCCCCTGATTCAAAATTTTTTTTCGTGCAGATGTTTTACAAGTCTGCAGTAACAACAATATGGACAAGATAATTTTCTGGAATCATCGGTAAAGTCTTAGTTACTCGGGTCAAATAGGTAAATACGCGAACTTTAGTGTACTTAAGTTATGTAGATCTTGATGCACAAGCGACGAAAATGATGGGTAAACTCAAGACCGACAGGCTATAATCCTTGTCGGGATATTGATAGGTGCAGTAGGTTACAGGACAATTACAGGACGTTGCAAGGGTTGGGGATTTTGGGGGAGGCTGAGGAAAATAACGGAATAGAACCAAAGTCAATTGCATATGACACTACACACCACATACACACCACACACACCAACTTTTCACCCTTCTAGATGCCGATCCACCTAAATTTGCAAGGTTGTAGACTTGCTAAGAAACAAACTTCTAACCTACATCGTTCAAGATCTTTCACTGCTTACCTTTACGCGCTACGCAACGCAACGCCACAACATCCTTGCTAGGGTACCGAGACAAGAAACAAAGAGAAGTCCTATTCAGCTCTTCTTCCCGATGATGCAGGGTGGCCCGCTCCGGTTTGAATTCGTGCCTCAGTGCCTAATCAATGACAACGAAACTGCTGGCCAGTGGAATGTCTCGTTCAAACTTCGCCATCTCCACATCTTCCTTCTCTCCTATATATCCTCGGGCCCGTGCCATGACTAGTAGACCGAAAAGTTACCTTAAGTCTACTTACATTGCCGGTGTTTTGTCCACTACCCCATTTAATCAAATTAGATATCGATATTCCCCGTTTGTCTTCGGCTGCAATTGTTCCTTCAGCTGCTATAATTGTGTCGTATACCGAAATTCCTCCAGCTTAAGAACCATGAACGACCCAGTTGTCAGAACTGCTTCTCCTTACACTGATCCTACAGTAAAGGGCCCAAAGTCTCAGCAACTCACCAATGGTCATTCCCATTCTCTTCTTCAGCATAACAAGAGTGAGTTGACCTCGAGGAAAACCAGGAGAACGCGTTATTCCTGAATCCGTAACCTTTAAAAACTAACATTTCTATTCTAGTGATTCCCAACAATAAAGTCAACAAGACAGCCCTTCACCCTGGTGGTGTTGAGTGAGTATCCCTTTTCCAATGTACACAATGAACAGAGAGCTCTTTGCTAACCTACCTTTTGTAGACCCCACCAGGAAAGGGAGCACACGGAGCTAGGTACGAGTCAAGTCGTTTAAACTTAATATTCGGCACTACCCGTCCATCCTTTGTTCATTTATCCACTAACATTAAGTTTAGAGGAGGAACTGCATGAGAAGGCACACATCGACTACGATAGAGTTGCCATTGTAAGCTATCTCTATCATCAAGATATGTCTATTAGAAATATAACTAACGAAACAAATAGATTCCTAACCCTTCAGTTGCTGCCCTGTACGAAGATGCTCTTGTAAGATGACCTCCTAGACTAGGTCACGCGACCAACATCCAACCCATACTAATGGAACAATAAAAGGTTTATGAGATGGGCTCGGCTATCGCATCGAGCGGTGCGTTGACTGCCTACTCTGGCGCAAAGACCGGCCGGTCACCTTCAGACAAGAGGATTGTAAAAGAACCGTCATCAGAAAGCGATATCTGGTAAGGATTCCCGTGTCAATCCACATGCATTATAAGATGATAACTAACCTGTTTTCAGGTGGGGACCCGTTAATAAACCCATGGCTCCTGAGGTAAGAGGATATTCGTCGTCATTATACGTTGAACCACCATCAACAAACACACATCTATCTCCCATCGTTTCCCTCTTCATTAATGGACCCCCCACTCCTCCTTGAAGCAAACCTTGCAATGTTAAGATCTCAACCTCTGCTTGGTTTGAGTATGACGACCTCTTTGCGTCACAGATTTTCCAAGTCAACCTCAATAACCATTATATTGAGTTTTTGGTTGGTTGTTACCCCAATTGCCCAGATTCAGTTTGAATCACGCCTCTCGAGAAGTCTCGTAGCGTTTGGCCTAGACCTGTTGAGCTGGAGATAATCCCTGTCATTGGCGTCATCTAAGGCTTCAGACCCCAGGCAGCTCGGCCCAGATCCGGCAATAACCTGCACCCCGCCTATCCGCACTTCCACAAGACCGGGAAATTCTCAGCCCCACAAAGATTCTCACGTGTCAAATTTATCTTCATCGTGATCTAGATCTAAGATGAGTTTGCCATAGCTAACATGAGGATAACTTAGGTATGGAAAATCAACCGCGAACGTGCTGTCGACTACTTGAATACCCGAACAAGAATTTACGTCGTCGACGGTTATGCGGGTTGGGATGAGAAATACCGAATCCGAGTTCGAGTCATCTGTGCCCGTGCCTACCATGCTTTGTTCATGCGCAACATGCTCATCCGCCCTTCGCGAGAGGAGCTGGAGCATTTCCACCCTGATTACACGATCTATAACGCCGGAAGTTTCCCGGCTAACAGATATACCGAAGGGATGACCTCGGGAACTTCAGTCGCCATTAACTTTGCCGAGAAAGAGATGGTCATCCTCGGTACCGAGTATGCAGGTGAGATGAAGAAGGGTGTCTTCACCGTATTATTCTATGAAATGCCTATCAAGCACAATGTCCTTACTCTTCATTCGTCTGCAAACGAAGGCAAGAATGGCGATGTCACACTTTTCTTTGGTCTTTCCGGAACCGGTAAGACAACATTATCTGCCGATCCTAACCGAGCTTTAATCGGTGACGACGAGCACTGCTGGAGCGAGCGCGGTGTCTTCAACATTGAGGGCGGTTGCTATGCAAAGTGCATCGGCCTCTCGGCAGAGAAGGAGCCAGATATTTTCAACGCTATCCGCTTCGGCTCTGTCCTCGAGAACGTTGTCTTTGACCAAGAGACTAGAGAGGTCGACTATGACGACGCTACCCTTACCGAGAATACGAGATGGTGAGTTGACTTCCTCATATCATGTTATGATCAAGCCTAAACTGACAACTTTTAGTGCCTACCCTATCGAGTATATCAGCAACGCCAAGATCCCTTGTCTGTCGGAAAGCCACCCTAGCAACATTATCCTGTTAACCTGTGACGCGCGTGGCGTATTACCACCGATATCAAAGCTTAACAGCGCACAAACAATGTTCCATTTCATTTCCGGTTATACCTCCAAGATGGCTGGTACCGAGGATGGTGTAACAGAACCTGAAGCCACTTTCTCATCATGCTTTGCTCAGCCCTTCCTCGCTCTTCACCCTATGAGGTACGCGAAGATGCTGGCGGACAAGATAGAAAAGCACTCGGCGAATGCTTGGCTCCTGAATACCGGTTGGGTCGGTGCCGGTTATATCCACGGCGGCAAGCGCTGCCCGCTCAAGTACACCCGTGCAATTTTAGATGCCATTCACTCAGGTGAATTGGCAAAGGCTGAGTATGAGACGTACGAAGTTTTCAACCTTCAGGTCCCCAAGACATGCCCTGGAGTGCCCTCAGAGCTGCTCAACCCCAGGACTGCCTGGACTGCAGGGACAGACAGCTTCAGCGAAGAGGTCAAGAAGCTTGGTGGACTATTTATCGAGAACTTCAAGAAGTACGATTCAGAAGCTACAGACGACGTCAAGGCGGCTGGCCCGATTGTTTAAAAAAAAAAAAACACAAGAAGCTCCACGGCATCCTTTCTTATTTTTGATGTCTTCTGTTTTCCATCAGTTTGGAGTTGAGCATCTGGCATATTTTTTTTAGGGAATGACGCATCCGCGGAATGATAACCACGGTCGGTCTGCGCAAATACACCGGATGCGAAACCAGACGAATAAGGGCTGGCTGTATAAATCGAACGCGAGGATACCGAGTAATTGTACACGGGGTAAAAACGCTTTGATGAAGCACTATCCATTGACGGGGTGCAATCCAAATTAGATAGTCTTTTTCTTATGAAAAAAAGAGTTAGGATATAACAATCTAAAGAAATTAGTTCCAGCATTTGATTGTATGAGTGACTTGGTATTAACTGGTTAATGGTTTGAGAACCGTGAACGAACGGCATTTTTCATGTGGCTATTCTGTACTAAACAACGCCTTGATAGGATGTAAATGAATTACCTACCTAATTTAGGTAACTAATTGAAATGAAAATTCTGGTATTGTCTGGTCTTACCTATCTCCTTATACTATGTAGAATGAACACTTAAAACTTAATATATAAAGCACAAACGAAGGAAAAGAATGAAAAAAACTTACATAAAAGGGATGGGCCTGTGCTGCACGTTTATATGCATAAATCCATACATTTCCTCGTTATAGTGTTTCCATATATACCGTGCAGATATACGGTCAGACGGTATTGGAGTCTAACGTAATAAACCTAGATCCTAGTAGATCCTAGTCTTTAATCCTAGTAAATTGAAGTGGGATACCTTAACAACTTCTTTCCCATATTTAAACATACGCGACGCCCCTACATTTATCTACGTTGCGGGTGAAAATATATCTTTCAATGCGATTAGTTCGATCATGACAAATCCGCCAAAATGGACGGAGATTGGGACGAGGCAAGTATTTCTTATGATTATTCTAATTAGTTCGAAAATCGACAGTTACATATGCGAGGAGGGGCTAGGTTTAATTCAGATACTGTCAAGTTACTTCGTTGGATGCAAGGCTGACTCTATTCTATATTCATAGGTTCATCGCATACCTTTTCCACCACCCGGTCTCCGGGCTATGCCAACACCTGTCACCGTCTTAGCCTTCGATACTAGCCAGGAGCTCTTATGGACCGGAAACGAATATGTACGAACGATACCCCTCTAATGGTCCGTCTTCTTATAGCCAGGCTGATAGTTATCATAGGGCCGAGTATCCTCATTTTACGGTACAAAATTACAGCCGTATACATCTTTCAAAACCCATACTTCTCAAGATGGGCCTGTTCGACAGATACTCTTTAACGACAAGGGCGTTATAGCTCTAGGCTCCCGCGGCGTACATATGGCATTGAGAAGAGGTCCACCCTTGTGGTCGATTAGGTAGGTTCCCTTTCCCCCAATTATTCCCATTTTGGAAGGCTTTCGATCAATACTCATTGAGGGAAACGCAGGAACGAGGATATGCTAGAATTACGATGTATGAGCTTCACGTCCAAGGGCACTGCCGAGATTCTAGCCGCCGGAGAGCAAGATAAGATGTTTGTAATCGACATAAATAAGGGCGAGATAACTAAACAAGTACAGTTAATTAATCAGTATAAATTGAAATTGTGTTGCTGCTAATTGCTTATTAGTTACCTACCGAGTACAAATATACAATCATGAGAAGAAGTCGGTATATATGCGCCGCAACCTCTACTGGCGCTGTCCACATAATCGACCCCGTTAGCTTTCAGGTCATCAAAATATGGAACGCGCATACGGCCGCAATTAATGACATGGATGCCCAACACGATTTCATCGTTACCTGTGGATATTCTATGAGACACGGGGGTAATTACATGCCCGATCCGTTCGTCAATGTGTTCGATCTAAAGAACATGATATCTATGTCCCCTATCCCATTCCCAGCCGGTGCAGCTTATGTGAGAATGCATCCTCGAATGTCGACAACCAGTATTGTTATGTCACAGATCGGACAGATGCACGTGGTTGATCTAATGAACCCCAACACTAGCAATGTGCGTCAAGCAAACAACCTCAGTTACTTCTCAATGATAGAAATCGCGTCTTCGGGGGAAGCAATTGCTCTTGCAGATGCTGACTGTTATATCCACCTCTGGGGCTCACCGAGCAAGATTCATTTCGCTGAATTTCCCACTCCGATAGAGACGGCAGACTCCGGGACGGGGCCCCGAATCGAGTTTGATTCTCCTGATGCGTAAGTGTACTTCGGCTTATATGAATTCGTTTGCTGACAGAATACTAGGCCGTTGAGCGCTGTCGGTATGCCATACTATAGAGAAGTATTGCTGTCGGCATGGCCAAGTAATATGATCACAGAAATTGGTGCCCCTCCTGTTAAGATTGACGCACAATTCTTGGCAACGCTCCAAGAGAGAGACTGGGGTTACTTTGGCAAGAATACTCGACCTCTGCGGAGAAATCAAATCGAGGATACCCGAAACACCGAAAATGCCCAAAGCTCTCTAAAACCACCAAAGTTCCTAAGCGAGAAGGCCAGAGAAGCGGCAAAGTCTCCGGCCGGGACACCAGCTCCGGAAGAAGTTATACCAGAAATTCCGCAGATTTTACAAGACAACAAGCTCGAAAGCCTAAAGATCGAGGTCCCCGAGTTGTATCAGAATATTGAAATAAAATATAGTAAATTCGGAATCGACGATTTCGATTTTGGGTAAGTTGATTTGCCGCTCCTATGCTACACATGCTGATAAAAAGACTAGTTATTTTAACAAAACCCAGTACTCGGGTTTACAGAATCATATTGTTAACGCCTATGCCAACCCATTGCTGCAGGTGATGCATTATACCCCATTGATCCGAAATATTGCTCTTCATCACGCAGCGACGGCCTGTGTAGATGAGCTGTGTCTCCTCTGCGAGTTGGGATTTCTCTTTGATATGCTCTACAAAGCAGAGGGAGAGGCTTGCCAGGCATCTAACTTCACCAAAACCCTTAGTTATCATCCTGAAGGTAAGTGGTCGTGTTTATATTCCTCTTGACGGCTTACTGATGAACTTGAACAGCGGGCAAGCTGGGTCTACTCGAGGAGGAACCTCATGCATCGCGGACCGTTATGCTCCAGCACCTAGCTCGATATCTTCTAAGACAAATGACTCAGAACTATAACCTAATGATACAAAATCCCCATTCTCATAGTACAGAGTCACCGCGTCCTGGAGCACTCGAAGAAGTAAGTCCACTTAGTTATGCCTTCTTAAATATAACCTCTGCTAACCATTAGTTCCAGCTCTTTCAAACATCCGCAACTAGCTCTATCAGATGCATGAATTGTCGAAGCGAAACTACGAAAGCTGACCATACTATGGTGAATGAATTAATGTACCCCCAAAATGTAAGTCTGGCTCGCTTCTAGCAAAGCAAATAACCCAAGCTCATTGTCACAGAAATCCGGGCATAGAAACCCAAGAATACGAGGAACAACATTTTCGCAAGTGTTGAAGATGAGCGTAGAGAGGGAGACTACCAACAAAGGTTGGTGTAATAATTGTCATAGGTACCAGACATTGGCTACCCGAAAGACGATACACAGGATACCCAGCGTATTGATGCTCACGACCGCAATTAACAACAATGAGCACCGGAGACTCTGGGCTACGCCTGGATGGTTGCCAGAAGAGATTGGCGTCATAGTAGATAACGGCCAATTCTTCTGTTTCGAGGGTGAAGACTTGAAATTGCATTTGCAGCGGGGGATCCATAATATTTCGGTATATTCTTTGACTGGCCTTGCCGTCAATATCGAGGGTGGTCAGCAGCAGAGATCGCACCTCGTAGCCATGGCAAATAGTAAGTTTCCATATTTTGAAAATTTAGCTATCTGAGAGAAGCTAATACGTGAGTCTAGTCGCACATTCTGCGCCGACGGCCCCCGGCCAAAGTCAGTGGTACCTTTTTAACGACTTTCATGTCAAGCCTATCCCTCCTCAAGAGGCACTTACATTCAATACATCATGGAAGACACCTTCTGTCATTACGTATCAAACCAAATCCGCCAACAATCAACTTGATTCCAGTTGGAAGCAGAATCTGGATTCTAGGCTATTATATCTAGATCTCCAGTAAGTCTACAGTCTTTTAAGTTGCAAACTACCTAATACTAATAATTATGCAGAGCTGATCGAGCTGATAAGACTTATCGAACTTTGGATCGGCAAACTGAGCCGGCTGGACCAGATACGATTGTTGCAATCGATACAGAATTTGTCAAGATTTCACAACCGGAAGTTGAGATGCATTCAGATGGCGACTCGAAGATAATCCGGCCAACGGTGCACGCCTTAGCCAGGAACTCCATCGTCCGAGGCAGTGGCATGGACGAAGGAGTGCCGTTCATTGATGATTATATCACTATCAAGGAGAAGGTCGTCGACTATCTAACCTCGTACTCCGGGATTACCCCCGAAGACTTAGATATAACGACGGCGCAGCAGAGAGGACATAACCTTGTTCCGTTGAAGATTGCGTACAAGAAAATTTGGATTCTCTTGAACCTCGGGTGTAAATTTCTGGGCCACGGGTTGAAGCAGGACTTTCGAGTAATCAACATTCACGTACCGAAAGCGCAAGTCATTGACACGAGCGATCTATTTTTTATCAAGGAGCGCCTTCGGAAACTCAGCTTGCAGTTCCTCGCACATACCCTCCTCAAAGAAGATATTCAGCTGAGCACGCACGATTCTATCGAAGATGCTAGGACCGCCTTAAAGCTATACCGCAAGTATCAGGAATTCAGCGAGGCGGGCGTTCTCGATACTATGCTTCAGGAGATCTACGCGAAAGGGGTCGCCTCTAACTTCAAACCCCCAGCTAAACTAATTCCAGGTGGCAGCGTCCCCAGGACGGATACTCCACCTGTGGACGGGACGATAACGGTCGGGCCAACGACGCCGTCTAGAAAGCCTAGCTCCCTTGTGCCCGGAACACCAGCGTCGACGCCAGGAAGGGGGCTGGGCTCGAGATAGCTCCAGGGCCTCAACCCCGAGCAGACATGTGTGCAATTCTTGGCGCGCATATGCTGAAGAAACAAAACAAGCGAAATCCATCGAGTCTCTCTCATTGAGGACTAAGGGAAGAACTACTTTTTCATCCTGTTCAGCTACAGACTAAGTTTTACGAGTCTGTTTTCGTGCTTATTTCGCAATTGTTTACGAGACTCGTGAGAAACGGCAAAGATTCCCCTATAGCATACGACGAAACTAGATTCTGCTAAATGTTTAAAAAAAGGGGAGTGGATGGTAGAAGAACCACTATGCTAGGTACCTACCTAAGTTAGGTAGTAAAGCGACGAGAAGAAATCAAAATCAATCTTAAATACTAGTCTTGGATAAACTGACTTATGCTTGATCTTTTCTCTATTACCTGATATCTTTTTCATAAATCCTTTAGAGTCTATCGAGTCTTCATTCTTAGTAGTATAGTAAGTCGGTATGCGATCCACACGCGTATGAATAGCAATAATTTTCAACTTGGGTTGAAGTTTCCCTAGAACTACGTTGTCTTCTCGGTCTGGTAGATAGATGAATATCTCCCTTCCTCGAGTGTTTAACTGAAATAGGCGGCTTCAGATAAAGGTGTAGTTATAGATTTTTCAAACCCCTCGATTTTCACTCAAGTAAGCCTCTCATTAAGAGAACATGGTAGCAAGCAGTGTATATCGTCTTTGTACATGGCTTTTGATTTATATCATACATAGGTACATACCTACCTAGGTAGGTACATTATCACAGCCGACCATCTACCTACATATATCGATAGGTACGATGTCGCACCAGGAACGCCCTGATTCAGTCCAGTTCCCCCAGCTGTAGTTTTCCCCCTTCTCCCCACGAGCCAATAATCGCTTCGACATCTATATATATACCTATCTATATATATCTCTACCGGCCGGCTGGCTGGCTGGCTAGGTAACCTACTTCCGCCGCTTCCCCACAACAGCATGGTGCGTCAGATTAGCACGGGCAGCAGTACCAAGCTTATGTATGCTGTTGCGCTTATCCCAGACGGTGGACTTGCCCTCGACGACGGCGACCAGCTCCTGGGCGAAGCGGGTGGCGAACTGGGCGCGGCCGGAGGCGGCGGAGCGCTTGCGGCGCACGGCGTCCAGGATCCACATGACGGCGATGCGGCGCCGCGCGCGCGCCGCCATGGGCTGCGGCAGGTCCAGCGATTGTCCGCCGCCGGCCGCGCCGCGTAGGCTGCGGATCCGGATCAGGGGCGCGACGGAGTCGATGGCTAGGGTTAGGTATAGGAGTGGGTTGAGGGGTAGTTGGTCGGCGGGGGGGCTGCCGGGGAGGAGGGGTCGGAGGGGGGAGACTTTGGGGGCGGGGGTGGTGCGGAGGTAGTTGAGGATCATGGCCATGTTCTGTTTTTTTAGAGAGGTTAGCTTGGTTCTCGTGTTAGAAGAGGAGAAGGGGAAAAGAAGGGAATGGCCGACGTACCCTCTGCGCTTGGCTTAGCTTCCCGTCTTTCATCAGGAGCTTCGTCACCTGCTCTACTACGGGATGGTATCTGTCCTGCAGCTGCTGGCCCTTGCCGACGCGGTCGGGCATGTTGAATAGCAGGCCCTCGTCGTCATCGTCGTAGAGGCCCTGGTTGGCGGCGGCTTTCTCGAGGGCGGCTATGGCTTCGGCGTTGAGGAAGTTGGGCGCGAAGAGCTCGGGGGGCTTGGGAACGTATTCTGCGGGAGTTGGTGGTGGGGTTTCGGACTGTGGTGGTGGTGATGGTGGTATTCTTGTGTTGGTATCGTCTGAAAGTCCTCTCCTCGTTATTAAGAATGGTGTCGGGTATGTTGGTCGTTGTTCCGGATGGGATGGTATTCGGAAAGCGGTTGTGGGTGCTCGTCGCGTTCGTATGCTGAGATTACGGACGGTGGCGGCGGCGGTGCCCCAGGGGGTCAACTTGCAAGACATGATGCCGGTTTTGAATTTGCAAGTAGTTACATCGATTGTAAGGTCAATTCCTACTTCCTCGTCCTCTTCGTCCCCAAAATGCGATATTAGTTGAGTCGTTAATGATTGATGCTACGATAAAAAAAAATGTTAATCTGATAATGCGATTCGGTAGCTGCCCCCCCTGCAACAATCCTAGCGCACAATTAATCCGGAGCACGGACTATTAGGTTTTGATATGCTTTTATCAATTCTATGGATGGAGGGGTTTATCTTATCGTTAAAGTATAAAAGACACCGCCACATATTCATATTTCCATACATCATGGAAACATTCAATCTAACTAAGCCACACTTATTGTTTTTATGATATCTCACTTTTCGTTTGCAGCATTTTTTCTAATTGGACGATCTTGCATATTTTACTTGTCTATTATGCTTAATTTTTCAATCTCGCTTTTAGTTTCCTATCTCCTTTACATCTATTTTATAACCCTTTTTTTCTCTTCTTTTTTTTTTTTTTGCTTTTTACTTTCGCCTTTTCTTTCTCCGATCAAAAATTTCTTCTTCCCGTGTTCCAGTTTAAATCTAGAACAGTTCCACCCCATTAATTACCTAAGAATTAGGAATAGGAATTTAACTTAAGCAAGTTAAAGCCATCGTCTTTTTTTCCCCCTTTCTACCCGTCACACCCCAACAACTCTCCAGATCGTTCCCCCCCATCCATCCTACCTTAGGTACTTTTCCCCCACGCGGGCCCATGGGTAACCGGATTGTAACAGGGCTGCTACATAGGTATTTTATTTTCCTTGGCTTTGACCCCACCATGTCCACGTCGATTATGCGGGTATTTATACATACCATACCTACATACCTACAGCAGCAGCAAACCTGAGGAAGGATTTCAGCCCGCAGCGGCAGAGTCAGTGCATGGGGTTTTTAGAAACCCGCTTAGGAAGCGCCTCTTCTTCATCTCATCTTAATGCTGGTGCTGGTGCCTGTACGGTGGAGACGTGTCCCTCTATGGGAGGACGCCTTCAAAAGTTCAAGACGCCCAGTTTAGGTACCTACCTTACCTACCTTACCTACCTTACCTACCCACCTAACATAGGACATTACTATGAGACATGAATGTCTTAAAACCTTTTTTACCACGCCCAAGGCCTTCTTACTTTGGGCTGTGCCGCCTCGGCGCCTCTGAGCTCACAATGTCTCAGAGTTGCCCATCCTTCGGATGCCATTTCCGCGATGAGAACCGGTCGTGGTCGTATGACTATAGGGTTGCAGGTGATAGCTACCATATGCGAGCTGATAACCCTGTGGAGCTCACCGGTCGAGTTAGGTCGCGGTTCGTGAGGCTACATCTAAGGTTACTCGCCGGTTGGGCTTTAAACCAGATCCGCGATGGCGATGGCGTAATATAATGGAGCACCTGACCTTGCTTTAAAACCGGGAGGTCGTATACTGTGGTATCTTTTTTTTTCTTCTCCATCGTCAGCTTATACCTAGCTGACAATGGATATCTGCAGCCGAAACCCCATCGAAAAAATGGATATATGTTTATGTGAGTGGGAACGGCCATGATGCTCATGCTTACACCCTCGTATTCCTCCTGAACACCGGCACAAACCATGGTATATACTATGTACTATACCATGTACTATACTATATATGATTACTCTACAAAGATGGAGATCATAGGGTTCATAAGGTAACACATTTAGTACCATGTAGGGCAGCTAAACCTAGCACCTAGCTTACTTACGCCTTGTCCCTGGCTGGCGTAGCATCGCGCATTTTGTTTTCATCAGACGAATTTCAGGAGTGCATGCATACGCATACTACAGTAAGCAGGAACATCAACATTAACATTAACACACATGATGCCTATATACAAAAAATGTTTCCATAAGTCTATGTGTCATCACGTCATCGGGGGAAAGCATTTTAGATATGTCGGGTATTTTATCCCTCTCGGTTCCATTGAGAAAAGAAGAACGGAAAAGCAACGACAACATAAAAACTAGGAGATCGACATTATTCATTACTCCTCATCAAGTGATCGCATCCTATCCCAATTTTTTTCCCCTTCCTCCCCTCCCCATCTCTTTCTAGATGACCCATTGCCGTTACTTTTTTTTGTTTTCCCTTTTCCCTCACTCTTTCGAGCATGTCTCAGGCCTGTTTCCTAGTTAGATAGATGAGCTCAACAAAAAAAAAATCCTCATCCTTGTAATTAGTAGGTAGCATAAGTCCACGACTTCTAATACATAGAAAATCGGTCGAGCGATGATGTCGTGTCTATCGATAGTTGGTTTCATGAGATCAGCTTTTGCTTTTTCTCTTTTCCGTCTGTTCCGTTGTAATTTTCAACAGGTCGAGTTGGAGCAGTTGAAACGAAGAGTGGTAAGAGAGAAAATCCAACATAATCCCTCGCGACAAGCGTTTTTTCTTCGAGAACCGACAAAATGGGTCCCAAAAGAAAGAAGAAAAAAACCGAAGTCCTGCGCCTGGTCCTGGTCCTGGTCCTAGTCCTCCCCGAATAATCCCTGTTTTTGAAACCCTTTCCTGGTGATGATCCCCCGCTGTCGTAGTGTAAAACACGCCCTCGCTACCACGAAAAATGGTCGTGGCGGACAAGAATACTAAAAACCTCCAAGTTGTGTCCATTGGAAACCAATCAATGATGAGGAACCTGCGCCGAACCCATAGATGCTAATGTAATTGCTCTCCCCGTCTCTGGGTTTTTTTCTTCTTTTCCTTCTTTCTCGTGTCCTTGCCGTGGGGCAGCCAGATCCTTTCCCAAACTCCGATTTGCCAATATCGTACAGAACAGGAAGTTCAAGTCGTAAAGCGAGGAGACACAACCCCCCCCCCAAAAAAAATTCAAACATTGCCGTCGGAGGAAATAGGGTGTGTCGAGGTGAATCAATCGCGCAAATAGGGAAGGCGATCGAGAATAGGAGCCACGCATGTCAGTTGGAGACCCTTAAATGTCGAAACATGTTCGTAGTCGGTTGAATTTCCCGAGGGGCCGTCTACCAGCTGGCTGATAAATTCGCTTGATTGGAAAGCCAGGTCAAGGCCGCCTCCGCGGCATCTTCCCTAGCATTAGTGATGTTCCTCCCGTCGTACCAATATCGCGCCTCGATTCGCTTGCCGTAAACGGTAACTATACTAGACCAAGCGGTACGACCACCTAACGATCGGAGGAAGATCTGGTCAGTTATCACCTATATGGGGTTAATGAATGTTAAAAAGGAGACCCACCACGCCGATCAGATACGATTTGAAAATGAGGAGCTTGGATCTGGTATTCGCGGCAGACCTCTGGTCAGGTGTGTTAGTTACACTCTTACAAACTTCTATGTGAGATCAGGTTTTCCTACCTGCTAGCCGGTCTTGCCATGGTGTGCCCGAAGCCTGTTGCTGTGAAGACGGCATAGTGATTGGATAGACTCGTAGGAAAGTAATGAGATAAGCTGATGCTTTAGGTAGAGGAAATCTTCTACGATAACAGAGTGTGATAGCCAAAATGTGCTTGATGTGCTTGTATGATATAAACCAAGGAAGAAACTAGCGCTCAAGACCATGTGGGAGACGTGCTATGTAAATACCTTTTATATTCGAGCTAGAATCGGTGCCCTCGTGTTTTCTCGATTGGGAAAGGAGAAACACGGCCAGCAGCATGGACGAAGAATATGAGCTACGTACGCGCATAGGCATCAAGGAACGGGCAAGTAAAATCAGAATTATGAGTGGTGAAAGAGGCAGTGGATGATGTGGCAGGAAAGGATTAGCTAGCGGCCGCCTAGCTGTTTGCGCAACGGTACTGTACGGCTATGAAAGGGAAATTATTCGGCAGAGGAGACGGCATCATGCATCGTGTGTGTGTACGTGGTGGGTGGGTGACAGGTTCAGCTCCAGAGAGGCGTTGATGTGGTAGGAGAGGAGGATGAAGTAGGAGATAAACGACGGCTCTCATCGCCGATATAAGTTACAAGTGAGCATGCCAATTCCTTCTCTATCATTTCCAACTGCTTACTAGGGTCATCATGTCTGAGCGGGAAACCTTGGAAGCAAACATATCCAGGTGGGTTGTCGAAGGATTGCTTTTTTCTCTTTCTTTTCTTATTATTCCTTTCTTTGCTCATGTTTCTTCCTACATCAGCAGCCTCATCAGTGTATCTTCCCCGTGACAGAAAGTTTCGGGGTAGATGTAGCCGAGTGTTATTCTAGTTTGAGTAACAATAATACTATCTTCAAGCACGATAGTAATGATAGGCTATAATAAGATAAAAAGAGAACTTGGGAGCCGATATGATAAAGATTCATACACGCCCCATGCTGACCGAGTAAGGTGAGTAGGGTTTGTTACGGAGACTAATAAAATAAGACAGGGTGTATGTGTATCCAATACGTGAAACGGGTTGATGATACTCTATACGTGATAAATGAGAAAGATAACACAGGTTTTGAAACGATATAGACCAGAAAAGAAAGCGTTAGAATACCGTACCACACATTGTAAGCCAAAGGTTGGGTGGCGGGGCCCTGGAGACCACAGCTTGTGACAGCTTTCCTGAGAGGCCCTCACGAACATGCGAGCAAGAAAGGTAAGGCAGATGGCAGATGGCAGATGGCCGATGTATTGTTGTCAAACTTGACGTAGCAGACCAATCGTCATACCACCCCTCCCCAGTTCGGAGATATTGTGTTGAACGAGTCTCACTGAGCTGTCGTAGGGAATCGATAGGTGCGGAGTATATAATACATACTAGGTAGGTAGTATGATACATAAGATGCATCTTATTACGCGGCTGTATGACAATCAAGTACTGGGTGGCTGATCAACTTTTTGACTTATCTGTTTCAACCGAGCCCTAAGAGAGCAGATTTACGACCAATAAGATAACACATAAAGCACCCCTGAAGCGTGTGTTAAGAATAGTACGGCTCGGAGCAGGCTAGACGTAGGAAAGCCTTGGTTATTGCGTGACGATTCAGACCCAACAACGTGGTTGAGCCGCGCCACGACCGGACAGCTGCCGCCGCCGTGACATTCTGGCATTTGTGATCAATAAGAAAATTCCCCGAGTCTTGAGGCGTACCTGTACTATTGGAGTACAGCCCCGACTCGACGTAAAATTCCATCGATATGTATCCGAGGCCGACTACACGTCCATGTTTGCAGGGAAGACGCGTGTTTTTTTCTATCGGGCATATGATTTTCGGCCTAAATCAATACATTGGTTCTCTGACGCAACAATGACAACCTTTAAATCATATTTTTTGTATTTTTTCCCTTTTTGCTTTGCTTGCTGTTATTGTAGATGTTTGCTTTTTCCCCTTTTTTTGCAAGGGGCCCTGTATCAAGTTTCGACCCAATTGATCGGAACACGCGATTCTAATTGGATGAATTAGACACAAGCCTGCGGAATAATCGAGAAACGGCCGGTGACATAGCGACAGCGGCGATATACACAGCATCTCGTCTGAGAAGTCCAACTTGGGTATAGACTATAGAGAAGTAAGTAGCCTGTTGAGGGACCAAGTTCTTTTCTCGCCATTCTGTTGGGCCGGGTACTCGGTAACTAGTTAGGCATGAACTAGGCTGGATGATGCATCGAGTTATTGGTTCTCGCTTAAAACTTTTATGAAAACCCCTAACTGTATGTCTAGAATATAACCAGGAACAATGTCAAATAGTTTTTCAGCTTTCCGGGTTGATTGTAAAAGCCGATGATCTACAGTTTAATCTTCTCCTTTTCGGTCAGGCACATGTCATAGTGGGTCAAAGAAAGGTACCTAACATTTTTGACTGGCGAAATCAAATATCGTAAGGGGAACTGCCCGGCTAGTAGGTCGGTTACGGAGAACGGATCGTGGGGAGATCACGAAGCGTTGGGCCGCATTTGCCATTGGGAGCAGTCAGACACAACTTACCTCTCCAGGTTACTCGGCCCTATGCCTTTAAGATGGCTGCAATTCGGGTATAAGATATCCTCTAGTTCCTCCGCCGAGACCTCGACATAACACGGACTGAGTGCCGAATCTCAGCAGATGTAATCTAGGGTCTAAGGAAGAAAACGCGGGATGTACCCTAGCAGCATTCTTACGATGCAGATGTAGACTGACTTAACCACAAACCATGATACTCATGTAGTTATGTGGTATAAGATAAGGCAAGCGTATGTTCTACTGTATCCTTCTCGTGTGTTAGACCTCCGTACCTTAGTCCCGCTGCGCGTCTCCGGCTTGATAAACAAGTAACCTTGTCCTACTAGTGGTTTGTATGCACGTCGGAGAGCATAAGACGTGTAACCGTTGATTATCGGGCCCGCCAGTATGGATCGTCGGATACAGGGCAACGTGGAAAGGCGTCGTACTAAAACGAATGCAGGAGCCCCGTATCATACGTACCAAGTCCAGATTGAAGGCTAAAATTGCTCGGCCGAGAGACTTGGTACCTACATAAGGGCTGCAACGAGCAGACCCATGTATCCCGTGTTAATGTGGAGGACAACATCCTTGTGTAGATCCAGCATTATCACTCGCCTTATCCAGGCACAATAAGTAGTGGCCGGCTGCAAGGGCGTGCAGAGTAGGCAGAGCGCATACCTCCCGTTGGCTTTAAGGCTATCTAGCAGTAAGGCAAAGTGCCAGAAGAGCTGTTCAGAAACCTGGCGAATGAGACTAGAAACAGTCAGCAGTAGATCGACGTGCCATGATAACTGCTACACCGAAAAATAGCTAATAAGATGTCAGTGATTGCCATCGAAAATGACCAATGGTTTCAGGATAACCGCGAGTGCTGAAGGCTGGTGTGGCGGTGCATAGGTAACTCTCCTGTCTCGTGAGAGGGGAAAAAAAAAGAAGCTGAGTAACAGTTATTGCTATGGTGGCTATGGTGGTTGGGCTGCGTATAGTTATCCTAGGTAATTATTATAGTCGTTGAAGGAATGAATCTAGTAGTCATGCACTACTTCTCGAGCCATACTATCGAAATACGAAGGGTACCAACTCTCGGAAACCAGCAATACGAGAGATATCAAGGAGGGCCAGTTGCGGATTAGAGCATGTCGCTTCCGCCGTCCCGTCGGAGCTTTACGTTAGGCAACTGTTGAAACTCAACAACCCGTGTGGGCGTCGTTGGTGCATAGGCGTGACTTTTAGATGCGTCCTTAGAGAATAGTAGGTCACAGGTATAGTAGTCTGAAGCAGAGGTCTTAGAAGGGAAACCTGCCCGCATATTCTAACGCGCTTGTATGAGTACGACAAACGGATAGTGATACGGCATTGAGGAGTAGTTCCCGTTGCCACCTGTCGTCCGGCTAATACCCTGCCGCATCATCTTTTAGATTCGTCTGTTAAACTGATGAACGATAAGTCAAATCTGTACCTAGATGAGAGCGTAGGAATGGTGAAGAATCATCATCTGGGCCATGTGTGCTTGCATTAGACGACAAGTGATTAATCTAAATATAGAAATACGTTGTCAATTGGATAGGTAAGTAACGGAAACGATATGTTACTGAAGGTGGCAAGTTCAAAGCCATTCACAGGATCCTAATATCCTAATAATACAAATAGTTGACAAAAGTTGAAGACGATAAGTAAAAGAAGATGCACCTGACTTGGAGGTTGCATCGATAAAGAACGAATTCCGATGTCAAGAGCTAAATGTCTCCACTCTAACCTGGAAAACCATAATAAAGTCCGGCCACAGATAACCCCGGATTCCGTTTGCCCTGCACGTGGGCGCCAGCACATGCATGGCCCGGGTTTACCGAGGGTCTCCTTCTATGTATTTATTTCCCCCGATTGGGACAGTGTTAGGAATTCCGGCGCGCAAGAACGTAACCAATGTCGAACTATTATACTAGTAACTTAGTTAGAACTTAAGTTAACTATTATATACACAACTTGGCCATTAATATCAAGTACTTATTTATTAAACACTCAACATTTAAAGTAAAGCTCGTGAATAAATTAGCTACCTTACCTTAGGTACATTTTATGAAATAAATTAATCTAGTTATATTTAAGATTAGTTAACTAGTTCAAATAGTTACATGTATCTTGTGTCCATATAGGTTAGGTACTTTTATACATATTATGACCTAGTTATGTATTTCGTTTCTAAGTTAGGTACTAGTCGTGGCTTAATATGTGGGTCTGGGGAATAGCCTACCTCGGCATCTTTACAACCTCCTTTGCCGTTTCATTCTTATAAGTGTCCGGATTTCGTCTCGGTCTTCGCTATCAACATTTAATCAAGATCCTTTAAAATCATATGCATTACATTATTAATTCATCACATCCCCTCCTCGACTCTATCGTAACAATAGTAACACAATTATATTGGTAACTTCCGGGATAAAGTATAAGTAATTAACACAAGGCGGCCAGTCATAACGCAAAGATGCCTTTTGACACCGAGCTGACGCGCCGTCTGGGCATCAAGATTCCTGTCGTACAAGGTGGCATGCAGCATATTGGATATGCTGAGTTGGCCGCTGCTGTTTCGAACGCCGGAGGCTTGGGTATCCTCACAGCTCTCACCCAGCCGACACCCGAGGATCTAAGGAATGAAATTCGGCGGTGTAGAAAGATGACCAAAAACCCCTTTGGCGTCAATATCACGCTGCTGCCTGCTCTTGTACCCCCAAACTATGCTGCCTACGCCCAAGTCGTCATCGACGAGGGCGTCAAGATAGTTGAAACCGCTGGTAACAGCCCTGGTCCTGTTATTTCCCAGCTGAAGAAGGCTGGCACCATTATCCTCCACAAATGCACCACGATCAGGCACGCGCAGAGCGCTATCAAGCTCGGTGTCGATTTCCTTTCCATAGATGGTTTCGAATGCGCAGGGTAAGTCCACCAATAAGCCCTGTCATCAGGGAATTTATAAGCTTTAATCGTTTGCATAACTAAAACGCGCATTGTGATGGGCAGACACGTGGGCGAGTCAGACATCACCAACTTTATCTTGCTCACCAAGGCGCGTCAGACGCTCAAGGTGCCATTTATCGCTTCGGGAGGTTTCGCCGATGGCCACGGTCTAGCGGCCGCCCTATGTCTTGGTGCCGAAGGCATCAACATGGGCACTCGTTTCATGTGCACCGTCGAGGCGCCCATCCACCAGAAGATCAAGGAGCAGATCGTTAAGGCACAGGAAACTGACACAGCCTTGGTGATGCGCCGCTGGACCAATACTACCCGGCTGTATCGCAACAAGGTCACCGACCAAGTTGTCCAGATCGAAAAGGAGAGTAAGACGGGCGAATTCGCCGAGATCGCCCCCTATGTGAGTGGCAAACGAGGCCGGGAAGTCTTCGTAAATGGAGATCCTGAATATGGCGTAAGTTACACAATGCTTCCCCTTCTCCTTATAGTAAGACTGCTAACCAAGTTGGATGATAGGTCTGGACTGCTGGACAGGTCATTGGTCTTATCCATGACATACCGACATGTGCTGCCTTGCTGACTAGGATCGAGAAGGAGGCAGAAGAAACGCTCACCTCGAAGCTTGCATTGGCTAAACCCCAAAGCAAGCTGTGAAGGGGTTATCTGTGCAACGTGTAATCATTGCAATTGCTATTAAGATGTCCTATTACAATATCTTCTATTCATGGGCAAGTGGCGTTATTTACTGTTTGCATTATAGGAATTTAGCTATCGTCGACGCTTCATCAAATAGTTAGATTAGTCTTGTGATAGGAATACAAACTTAGCACCCAATCTTCGTATGTAGTCCCTCTAAACCACAGCCCCTTTTCCCCTAAAGAACGTGGCTGAAGCCAAAATTAAGACATGTATGACATTGCATTGACATGACACTGGAATATTTCCACTAGTTATCACTCCTTATATCCGGACAGGGTGTTGCTCTAGCAACTTAGTCATATCCTCCTCATCATCATCATCGTCATTACAGATCTCCACTCCACATGGGCTCTCACGAACCGAGCCGGCAGTCTTTCGCCTCCATTTCTGCCGAATGCACCACAAGCACAGAACTGTATAACATAAAAAAAAAGTAGAGCAATGCAGCACAGACCCCAGACCCTATAGAATCGACTCTTACGCGCCCGTACATGAAAAAGTTCCTATGCACAACACATCTCGAGTCCTCGCCGGCACGAGGGTGGGTGGAGTTACGTTCCCGAAGACCCAGTTTCAACCAAGTCATCGGGCTCCCTCCCTATCCTATCCGCTCACCTGCAGCGCATTGCGTGGAAGGACAGGATGCGGTAGAAGATACCCCCCCCTCCGGCACCACGCAAGATCGATAGCCGAATCCACCTCTGTCGGGTCGAAAAGCTAGTGTCAATCAATAAGCGATCTACGTGCCCAACGATATCTAGCTGCGAGTAAGACATTGCTTCGATCTGTGTGCTAAGGACGGTCACATAATACATAACATAATACTCTAGCTCCCGATGATACATACCTACATACCGTTCGTAAGCGTCGTCCACGTACACGATTAGGTGCTGACCACCCCCTTTCCGTTACCCTGGAATACCCGCTACTCATGTCACCAGGTGCGCGTATTCCCCCCGCAGGAGCCGAGGCGACATCACAGTGGCCCTATACAAGCAATATCGATGATGATAAATCTAACGTAGACAGTAAGCTATCCTTAGACACCATTCGACAGATCTACGCTTGGCCATTGACAAATCTTACAAGTATACTTGCTGATTGGACGATTCAGTCTTACATCGAGCTTACTTTAATATCTAAAAGACCGCGGAATTACCACACGGAATTAAGACTATCGTCGCGAGAATATGGGGTTTCCCGGGTGGCTAATACATTCATACACCATTGTGTATTCCAGGTTGATTAAAATAGAATAAGGAAAAAATACAATTCTTTGAAAAAGAGGGATAACTACATGTAGAAAGAGTACGTCTTAACTTGGTGGGGAAAGGGGTTGTCCTCCTAAATTCCGGGATAATCTGTCTATAAGAAGAGATTATGAAATCCCTTACGATTTCCCATCACTATATTAAGGTTAAAGAGATGACAGTTAATATTTTGGTTCGGAGGGAGTGGCTTTTATTGAGCATGTCTAGGTCTATATCTGCCGCTTCATGCCCATGCAATGAGTTCTAAACAATTCATTACGAATGGGTGGCATTACCCATAAGCCCCATGGGGTCTTACATCAAATAAAGCCTTCTATTCCTCCTATTCATCTCGCGTCGACTATATCAAGCCGTAGCTGTCGTCCTTAGGCTTCATCACATTGGATTCTCGATCTCTAGGCGGAATCATCCGTGATAAGCTTGGTGATTTTTCCGATAGCAATAGTTTGACCCTGAAGGTAAGTTAGTTAACATCTAAAAGTAAGCAACCAGCGAAAGAATAACATACTTGGTCTCTCAAGGTGAAGCGACCCATCTGCGGGTAATCTTCGAATCTTTCGATACAAACCGAACCGGCGCCACCTGTAACTTGCATCCTGGCGATTATGCTGTCGCCCTTTTTCGCATGCGTCGGCGGTACCTTGCTCTTTCTGCCTGTTCCCTTTTGCAGCTTGTGTAATAATGCAGCAAAAGTTACTTCTTCGACTGCAGAGTGAACGTGTAGGACACAATTGAAGCCGGCACTGAGAATACTCTTCAGTTCGAGAATTCTGATCTGTGCCTCAAAAGCTGATACGTTATGAACGAGACGTTTCGGTGAGCAGAGCACGAAACCAGCCGAAATGTCATCTTCTTCGATACCTCGAAGACGTATCCGTACTTGGTCGCCGCATTGAGCAAATTGTATCTCGTCTTCTGTCTCGCCATAGAGAGCTGCAATTTCAACCTTCTCTTTATTCGGCATCATGATCAAAGTCATACCCTTCTTGCAGACGCCGGCTTCAATCTTGCCTTCAACCATGGTACCCATATCCCTATATTTTCCGCTAATAGCCATCATGAATGGCGCATTAGTCTTGCGTTCGAGGGCCTGCATGTTATCGAGATATTCCAATAGGGAAGGCCCGTCGTACCAGGGGCAAACCCCTGACGGAATGCGGTCTTTGATACCCATCGTTTGCTGGGCAGCAATGGGCATGAAGAAGACGTCAGTTTTTAGGTTGTATCCAGTGCCCTTAAGGAACTGTGCAAGTTTTGTAGTACATTCCTTGTATCTCTCTTCGGACCAGTTGACGGTAGCGTCGTCCATCTTGTTGATAACGACGACAAGTTTATTGACACCTTGGGTCTTGGCAAGCATGGCATGCTCGCGGGTTTGCCCACCTTTCTCAAAGCCGGTTTCATACTCTCCCTTACGCGCACTGATGACGAGGATGCCGACATCTGCTTGGGAAGCACCCCCAATCATGCTCGGGACATAAGTCTTGTGGCCAGGGGCATCTAGAATACTATATCGCCGCTTCTCGGTTTCGAAGAATCCTCTACCGACTTCGACTGTCTTTCCCTTCGATCGTTCTTCCTTGGTCAAATCAAGAGCCCAGGATAGGTACCATGTTTCTCGGCCCAAGTCTTTCGCTTCGCGCTTGTATTTATCCATTGTACGTTCGTCGACCATACCAGTTGCGTACAGAATAGAACCACCGAGGGTCGACTTGCCAGCATCGACGTGACCAATGAAGATGATGTTGACATGTTCCTTTCCGTATATTTCCTTAAGGGTCTCTTCGTCGACGTCGGCGACCTGTTCGTTAGCGACGGCATCGGCATCGCGAGCAGCTGCTTTGCTTGCTCTGGAGGGGCTTGAGCGTCCGGATGAGGGGGTTGGTGATGTCTTGCCACTTGAACTCTTGGTTGACTTGGTAGCCTCGCCAGTCTTCTCAATAGCTTTGGTTGCTGTTACTTTAGCACCAGCGTCGGCAGAGGCTTCCTTGTCAGCTTTTTCGGACTTGGGCTCGTCTTTTGGTGGTGCGGGAACACCGATCGATAGGACCTTAGCGGTCTTAGGCTTCGGAGGGTCTCCACCTATGCTCAAGACTTTAGTTCCTCCCTCTTGCTTAGCAACCGGCTTAGGCGCGTCGGAAGAAGAGGCGGGCGTAGCAGTAGATGCGCTCTGGTCGCCTCGCTTAGCAATGGTAGGTACAGCTTGGGATTGTTGAGCCTGTTGCTTGGACTTCTGTTGGGATTGGGGTTGCTGATATTGAGCATATTGCTGTTGCTGTTGCTGCTGTGGCTGTTGTTGTTGCGGTTGTTGTCCTTACTAATGTTAATAAATAACAATTTCATATATGAGGTGTAGATAATTACCGTATCCTTGGTTATATCCACCTTGTCCGTAGACATTACCATATCCCTGACCGTATTGACCGTAGCCAGCTTGAGGACCGCCATATTGAGGGTAGTAATTCTGGCCACCATAGTAACCTTGCTGGTAGTTAGGAGCATATCCACCACCATAACCTTGACCTGGTTGGAAAGTCTGGGCAGTGGGTTGAAAGGACGCGGCGCCAGGTCGGAATGATGCGGCGCCAGGGTTCTGAGGTTGGTTATTGAGGTTCAGCTGTTGAGCCTGCCTTGACAAGTTGTCGTCCTGAGCAGCAGGATCATCCTCCCAAGAGTTGAGATCAGCCATATTGCCGATTACTATATAAGTTATTATATATCGACGGCGATATTTATGGCAAGATGTTCGAAAGCGACGATTTGTATCAAGGGAGAAAATTCGACGTCAGATGGCAGAAGTTTGAGGGCTAGGAATTCGAAGTTGTGCGACCGTGAAATTTCTACTCTATTACTATAATAAAGATGAAGATGGATTAGTGGTCTAAGTTATGAATGATAAAATAAAATCCATTCACAATTATAGTATTGACTCACCGGTAAGGCCCTGCCTAAAAATCCAATATCTCAACTTTGGTTATTTCGTTATTTTGTTGCAGCGTTGCGGCAAAGTCGAAGAAGAGTTGCAGCTTTAGCGGGGTGAGAGAGGTTTTTGCCCCGCGAATGACGGAGAAGGAAGCATGTATTTAGGTACGTCAACTTAGGCAACCGTGCTGTTTTCAGTAATAAACTGTGGAATTTTATTAGTTTGTGCGATAAGAGGTGGATTAAATACGATAAGAATACATAGTTACATACTAACATAAGTCACGTATTAAACAGACATTAAGTATCTCGTTTATTAACTACACGGGATAATCTAGTTTCATTATTTACGCGGTGTGTTCACCTTTAAACATAATCAACCTCAACTTTACTACTAACGGCCGTGAATTCGTGCATATCCATTCCAAAGCACGGACATCTATCTTTTTAAGACGTTACATACATATTTAAAACTTTGGCCAAGACCTTTTTTTCAAGTTGGGCACCGATTCTATTAATTATTGCCCTTCATGGGGGGCAATTTAACAGTTTTTCTTTTTCATGCATGCATATTTTGAGGATGTGGTTGGAGCAAGACATTGGAGAAAAGACGATAATAACAAACTATCGCCTAATCCTATTGAAGTTACTGATGATACTCTGCCATGGATGCATTTCTAGCCAAGCTATCCTACCACGCCACCAACTACGCTATTAGGTCTTGTTTCGCTTTGACTTCTACATATGTCATCCAGCAAGGTTCAAGATTACTTAAAGTATGAATTATTTACTAACTAATTATTTATTACTCTAACCTCCTATTTCCACCTCTTATTTCAATCTTATACCTTATTATGTTATGTACCCAAACTAATTTTATGTTATTTAGACCGTTGATGATGATCCTCTACGAGCTGAGTTAAGCCATCTACAACGACGGTTGGCTCGCAAGATCGAGGTAAGTCATGTCTAGCCGACTTAGCTGAATGTAGGCTCTTCACCGATATACCCTTGTCGCGTGTTAATATCATCAACCTTTGCTAACCTCTCCAATAGCTCATCTCCCCTATACTTGAATCTATCGAGTTTCGCTTTGCTCGAGGAAATTCAACTTTAGAGGCCGTAGTGCAAACAGCACAAGAACTACGGGCCAATGTTGACTTACTTGGAAAACGTCTCGAAGCTGCTGCCTTAGCAGACCAATCCCACCAAAATGGAAGAGCTAAGGGCCCCGCTACTACTGCTTCTATGCGTCGTATCGAAGTCAAGAGCATTATCACAGACATCAAACAACTAATTGAAGATATTGATGATTCTATACCCCTCATCAATCTTTGGGTGTCTGCAATCGGGGGTATCCAAACACAACACTCGGCCTTTTCCCCTTCCCGTTTATTACAGGCTAGCATGCTTGTGAATGTCGGCGATACTCAATACATTCTCAACCCGGGCAGACCCATGCAGATCGGCCCAGACTTTATGCTGTCTATCTACATGTTATTTCGTGCCCATGCTTCTCCCGAAGACACGGCAGAGCCGTACGGAATAGAAGAGGGTCAGCGCAAGCCGGTATGGCAGGAAGTGATCCACAAAGCCCGAGTCCGGCTCCGTAGGATACCACTCGAAGATAATCTCCCTGGAACGAATAACAACATAGAGCATAACACCTCTTACGTAAGTTATGCGTACCAACTTCAAATTGTGGAGGACTTAGATGACGGACGTGTCCACACGGTCGAGGACGGCAGTGCCCCACCAACTGCTTACGAGGGTGTCCAGAGTGCTGGTATACGAGAATTTATCCCGGTCCACCAGATTTCAAAGATGTTCTACGCGGACGTTGGGAGGATTTTAAACATAAATAACGAAGATGGCGCCTCGAGTAGTCCCGTATTACTGCTTAAAAGGGACGTGAAGGCTATACCTCCGAATCAAGCACGACAGAACCATATATTTCCAGAGGACGAACGACAATTAATCGAAAGCCTGGATGAGAGTATCGTATCTGACGACACTTTAGAGGGCGATTCTCAGTACGAAATAGACCGTCAACTTCGCCAAGAAATCGTGGTCACCAAGGCTGCTATGCGGAGATCCACTAATTCTTGGAGGCTTCCGCAGGACCTTGACCCTGCATGGATAGCGCTAGAAGTATTTGAGATGGACGACGATGAAGATTGTACAACGGATGACGACGACGACCATACCCCTGAAGAAGACGAAGAATATAGAACAGAAAAAGACGCACATCCAAACCCCCACATCCCCCGCCGGTTGAAAAACAGCACGCGTCCATCCGCCGACTCAAATCTAGTAACCCAGCTCAACCGAATGAGCATAGCCTCCACACCCTCACGCTCGTCCTCCAGAAACTCAGGCGGCGCACTTATCCCCGACAGCGGGAAATTCGACGAAGACCTGCTCGAACGATCACCCTTCGGCGCAATCCACACCTCGCTCTCGCTCCTCGAAATGATGCTCCGCCTGACAAGCCTGCAGGAGTTCGAACAGACCACACACCTTGCCATCCCAGACCACGTACTAAAATTCTACCTCGACGAGTCCGTCTCGCGAGCCGATGCCGACGCCCCGGTTCATCATCGCAGCCTTAGTAGGGAGCGGAACTGAAATCGGGCGAGATATCCACTTTGACAGCGTCGATAGGGTCTTAGATGTGATTTAGTCTGGGATAACGCTAATAAAAGGTACACACACACACACACAACTAAGTCAAATCTATAAAGTTGGTTCTTCGGGTTGCAAGTAGACTGAGTAGGTAGACAGATAGACTCATGTAAAAGGTGCAAAGACCGGGGCTTGGCATGACGAGAAACAAGACAACTCACGAGACGATTAATCGTAATTCAAAGTCTAAGTGCAAATTGACCATATAATCAAGAAATATTTTACTCCCATTTATCACGAATTTTGTGAGAAGCTTTGTGGAATTTACGCCCCTATCGATAGATATAGGAGGGATGAAGAATAAGTATATTCTCGTAGCAACTCTAATCAAGGCTGAATAAAACCAGACCATCCGAACCGTCATAACTCACACGCACACTCCATCATATTAATCCGATGCTCGTTATACAATTCGTCAAATACAAGCCTAGCAGGGAACAGAATCCTCAACTAGCCAGCTAGCAAAGCCGCCCTCTAAACACCCCGGGGACCCAGTGTACTTGTTACCCAGATATTGCCCTTACCACCTACGTCCGTAAACCGTGTTCTCATTCCCGCGTGAGGCCTTTGAGCCAGAATTCTTACTTCGCATAGCCGCAAGCGACCTCGAGACATCTTGGCGCACAACGCTATTGAACCTCTCGTCGTCATCGTAGTCGCCCCCTGTGCTTTCACGGCCGACATGCTTGAACAGGTCCATCATCTCCTTGATGCCGAGTTTGAGGCTCTCCTTGCGAGCGCCGCCTTCGATGGTGGCCTCAGCGAGGAGCCGTTTCTTCTGCTGGAGCTCTAGGATACGTTCCTCGACGCTGTTCTCGACTGTTAGTTTGTACACGACAACGTCGACGGTCTGCGTCAGCCGGTGAACTCGGTCAATAGCCTGCTCCTCGACGAATGGATTCCAGAAAGGCTCAAGTATGATGACGCGACTGGCCGCAGTGAGATTAAGGCCCAGCGCACCGCACCGCAGCGAGCAAAGGAGAACCCTGGTTCGTGGGTCATTTCGCAAACTGTTGAGCGCCTCCTCTCGTGCGTCGTTCTTCATGCTTCCATCGTATCGCGTGTACCTGATACCTTCCTTGCGGAAAAAGGGCTCCACTAGGTCGAGCATACTGGTGAACTGAGAGAAGACGATGAATTTGTGTTCGTGTACTTCCTTGTGGAGTAGGGTGATGAGTTGGCGGATTTTGGCTGACGCGAGCACGTGTGGTGTCTTTTCCTTCTCCCTGCCAGAACGGGAGTAGACGACGTCGTCTTCAGAATCTGAATTGATTTCAGACTCGGATATACCCGTATCATCTTCGGAGTCGGATTGCGATTCTGAGTCCGCGTCTTCCGCTTCATCCTCTTCATCACCTTCCTCGCCCTCGTCTTCGCTATCTTCGAGTTTCGTTCGGCGCATCTTAGATTGAATCACCGAGATGGATTCGTCATCTTCGGTGTCTGATTCTTCCAAGGCCCGTTGTAGCTCTTCGGGCTTCGTGTCGTTCCCATCATCCACGACGAAGCTGCTTAGCTGGCTACCATCTTGCGTTTCCTCTTCTTCAGAATCGTCTGAGTTGATAGTTTCACCGTCGCCCTCGGCATTCTCATCATCCGTGCCGCCTGCTTTCCCTAAGCGTAGTGGGCCCTGCTCATCGTCGGAGACGATCCAATCTGCCTCTTCGTCCTCCTCGTCGCTATCAAGGATTGCGCGGCGATTCCTAGGTTTACGCTTTTTAACAACCTCAGTCTTGACCTTTTCAACTACCACCTTCTTAACCTTGGCCTTAGTCTTCTTTTTTCTTGTCCTCGTCTTTGGTGCTTTCAGATCTCCACCATCTTCGTGATGTTTAAAGTACTCTAGGTCTTCATAGCAAGCTTTACATTTGTCTGAATTGGGTTGGCGGTTGTCGCGGTCAAGCTCCCAACCACATATATCACAGTGTTTCGTCTCGACATCTAGTCCACCAAGAAGGTCTGCAAGGGCGTCAACGTCCGCTTCATTTCTCTTTGGCTTCGTTTCCTCGGATAGGGCGTCCTTGTCCTTTTCGAGCTTGCCCTCAACTAATTTTGGATGGTCGCAGGCCTGTCTTAAACGCAGAAGAAGTACCAAGGCGCTTGCATAATTGAGCTTGCTTTTCATCATTTGCTCGATACTCTTATCTGTTCGCTTTTCCAGCCTGTCGTAAAACCGCCTCTCTGCTGGAGTGAACTCAGCGGCAACTGTTACGACTTTTCGCTCAGTGACCTTGAAACTTGATGTGCTCTCCTCGCCTTCTTTAGTTGGCTTTCCATTGGTATTGAGAGCACCAGCCTTCTTGAGGATATCTTTGGTTCTTCGTTTCATGAAACACTGCAGCAGGCCATGAAGACGTCGCATTGCGACGTCTCCCTTACCACCCTTCATTGGTATTTCAAAATGATCCTTCCACTCTCGAAGATCGTCATAAGGTTTGATTCTGAGAAACTTCACTAAACTTTGCAATTCGTCTAAGTTGTTTTGCATTGGCGTGCCTGACAAGCACCATCGATATACGCTTCGGAGTTCGTAACATGCCTTTGTGGCCTTGGCGTTCCTGTTCTTGATCGTGTGTGCTTCATCCAAGATGACACGGTACCAATGTAAACCGAAACAACCGGTCTTCAGGGTATCTGTAGTGTGGCCATGCTCGGATACGAGAATCTGGTAGGTGGTAATGACTACATCGTATCGACGGAGGTCTTCAAACCGCTTGGTACGTTGGGGGCCGTGATGCACAAGCACCTTCAACTTATGGGATTCAGTCACCTTCTCTTTTAATTCTGCCTCCCACTGACGAATAAGAGCCAAAGGCGCAACAACTAGTGTTGTCTTTTCAACTCCTGGGTGCTTATCCGCTGGCTTCTTGTTGCCTAGAATTAGTGCTATCGACTGCAATGTCTTTCCTAAGCCCATATCGTCTGCAAGAAGACCACCCTTAGGCACTTTACCCTTTTTGACGGGGCCAAGTTCACGACCTTTCATCCACTCTACTCCCTCGACCTGATGTGGTAAGAGTCGAACACTGAGCCCTTCAACGTGTGATTTATCTTCACCCTCTTCTTTCGTATCCTCGCCTTCCTCATCTTCCATGGAGCCTTCGAGTAAGGCTTTAATGTCAGCAGCGGCTTTCTTAGGGTCAACATATGTGGAGAAAACTCCAGGTTGACTGTATATCGAAACTGGAGCGCCATCCGGAACCGAGATCGGGTTACTAGCTGATCCTGCCAGGTCAGGTTGCATTGTGTTGAACACAGGGGCTGGAGGCGGCTTCTTATCCTTATAAGAAGGCTGCAGTGGGCCCGTGATGCGTTGAGGGCGATGATGCTCTGGTCGGTTCTTGGGTTGAATAAAAAGGTTTGCGTATTTGTCTTCCATGTTTCCTGACATCACTCGAGATTTGACGGCAGGTTTCGGGGCCGCATTTGTAGCCCCAGAGTTGTTAACAGATGTGAAGCCTCCTGCACTCATATTCCCAAATCCTGGTGCTTTCTGATCGGACTGAGTTGAAGTCTGGGTTTGCGTGTTGCCATTTGTTTTGTTAGAATTTAATGGACGCAATGGCGCCTTAGGCGGAGCTTGTTCCTTGACCATGGTTGAATGATCCCACGAAGGTTGTGCTATAGAACAAGTATCGGTCGTAATCGAATTTGCTATCTCCTGGTCGTCCGTTCTAATTTGAAAATCGTGTTTCGTGTGTCGATTTCGTGTCTTGGGCGGATTAGGTCGCGATGGTCCGATGCGGTTGGTTGCAATCCGACTCTCTGTCCATGTACTATATCCAGATTTCTCCTCACGCAAAAGAGGCGCCTCAGTCGACTTAAAGTCGTTTCTAGGCCGGACTCCAAAGCTATCGCCGGGTTTTCTGCCTTGATCGTGAGTATTTGGGTTGCGAAGTGGGGGGACGGGATCATGAAGGGTACAAAACAGACTTCATGAAAAGTTAACCACCCAGAGAGTATAACTGTCGAATAATTGTAAGTGGAAGAAGGATTTATTTTAGAAAGCAACAAATTTATTTATTTCATCAGGTAACCGTATGTTTACCAACGTCAAAGGGCGTTGTTTATTTTAAAAAGAGTCAACTGCTGCCTTATGCTTAAAGAAATATTGTTTACTCTGCACCACTAATGACATGTTTTGCCCGGCCAACCAAAACCTTATCGGCTTATCTCCCCCTCCATTGAGCCACAAAATCCAGGCAGCTGTCTCATCAGCCACATCTTTGCCCCGCCTAGCCACACAGCCTCTGCTGTTAAGTGCCGTGTCTAACTAAGGTTGGCTTTATTACATTTTCTCTCAACAAGGGGTTCCTTATATCAAACAACTAAACCTATCTTGTTCAATTCGTATAGTTAACTATTGCTTATAACCTACTACGGAGTCTTGTTGTTTCATTATTTCTTAGAAGCTACTAGCACTGGACGAAATTAATCTGTGACGAATGATACGAACCGGCTTGGTTCATAAGTTATATGTACCATTCTTATTCAATGGTCACATAACTCAGATCAAATGCCATATATTCGTTAATATACAATGAGTATTAGTATTACCTGATGATAAAATAGAACGCTAATCACATATGAACACAGAAAACATCAGTTATAAGCAAGACGCAATATATTCGCATGCTAATCTATCTCTAAGTCTATATCTACAGGCGAACGCCAAGGTTTCCTCTCATACTTCATACGCACGTAAGCATCAACATCCTCCAAACATGAGCTCGATGAATCCCTCTATTTAGGAAGGCTATCGATGTGGATGGTAATAGGGGACTGGGTCTGAGTGCAGACCATGTTGTCGAGACCACCAGAGTGGCAGTAGGTGCCAATATTGCCGAGGCCGGAGAAGCCCGAACTGTTTCGATATTGTTAGTTTGGCCGTATCTTAGATACTAGTTACGATGAGAAAGAAAACTTACCCAGTTCCGAGCTCGTGGAAGACTTGGAGGGCGAAGGTCGAGGTGTCAGGGCTGTCGAGAAGCGCGAAGCGGTACTTGGAGTCACCGCAAGTTATAACGCTGGTGGGCACACCGCTGGTGATCTGGCTGGCAGTGGCCGAGCAGCTGAGATCCTTGGCGTCCTTGCCGGTCAGCTTGAAGGAGACACCGTCCACAGTGCCGGCAGAAGCACCGCTGGCACCCGCCTTGTGCACGGAGAAGTCGGTGATGGTAATATCCTCAGATTTCAGGTCCTGGGCCATAGTGTTGGCGCCGAAGAGGAGGGCAGTGACTGCGGTGGCTGTGAAACGCATCTTGATGGTTTGTTTGGGGTTGGAAGTTGAGGAATGGAAGATATAGTAGATGAGTATGTAGATTGATGACTTTGTCTGTCTGATGAGGAATTAAAAAAAGTCGAACTGACGGGCGGCAGGAGTGTGATTCTTATACCCCTTCGTGGGCTATGGACTCCAATGTAGAAGACATCTCCATGAAGAGAAGCAAGCTAAGCCCAGCTGCCACGATAGGATCGACGTCATTTCACGAAGGCAATATGAGTTCCACAGCCTTATGGAGCCTCAGCTGGCGCAATCATTCCCAATTTGGGTTATTTCCCCTTTACAATTGTAATCCCGACGTTTTTCTTATGGGGTAAAATACGAGCCGCTTGACCGGGAAGAGAATAGAACGCGGGCAAAACGAACCAAAATATTTTTGAGGATGTTAATAATGAGATCGTTGATGCAATGATTGGCTCGATTCGAGCTGAAACGTTTTCGGAAAGGTATGCAGTTGATTCTCTTAGTCATTCGTGTTGTCAGCCTCCTGGACCCTGAATAAACAACTGCCGGCCTATCCGTCTCCACTGCTTGTCCCGAGTTTATCTAATAGACGGTAAAGTCTCCCGAGCCATAGATCTTAACGTGGTGGCCTGACCAAAGATGCTGATCTCATCGGTGTGCCTCCCCCGAGAAAGCCAAGACCACAGTGGAGAAATAGTTTTTGACATTGTGTGGGACACAGCCCTCCTTAAAACTACAAAGGAGAAAAGGCCGTTAATACGAATAGAGGGAGCATATGTCTTCGAATGTCAAAGGATACCTCGTATACGATCAACATAGAAACTATTATCGAGTTTAATTAATTACTATAATTTATTACACTAATTCATTAGGTATAATTCTAACTCGTATAGCACCATACTCTTCGTAAGAAAATTGATACTGCTTTGATTACTTGTGTCCAGATCTTGTAGCTGGAGATATCCGATGTCTACATTCAAACTTGTGGGTAAAGCTTAAGATTATACGGAACCACATTGTCCAGGTAGCCACATGTTCAATAGCCTATTCAACCCCTCCGCTCAGTATCCTGTGTATCTCAGCTCCTCGCAGGATGATAGAGGGTAGTACTAATAACTTGTATGTCGTTGAAATAAAAACACTTAAGAGTGTAACGTTTTATGAACTGGCAACACGAAAAAAAAAAACCATGATAATTTATCTTGTTATCTATTTCTAATAACAATATATTATGAGATAGTACCAAAACTCCAGAAAACAGGACACTGTTAATATGTGTATAGTCGCAACCTCTAGTACATAGCTTAGAGTTCCTCGCGGAACAACAGAGTTATTTCCATGGATTTTGCTCCACCTCACGATATGTACATCCTTTATACCATAGCCTCAAGAAATATTCCCACATATACAAACCGCATATTCTAATATTTATTCATTAATCGTCTTATAATATTACACTAAACGATGATCATGATCAGGTCCAAGTCCCCGAAAACACAAGCTACCAAACCCCACAATGCAGGGAAAAGGAGTCCTATGCCAGGAGGTTGACACGACTACGATGCAGACGATAGGGTCTGCGAGTTCTCGACAGAGCTGTTGACGTCCCATCTCCGCAACCCGCTTGCATCTTCTCCCACAGCCAAGCTACTCCCGCTCTCTTCTTCCTCGTTCGACGAGTCCCAGTCTTCGAGCCCCCTCTCCTCGCTCTCGTCCACGTAGTCGCTGTCGTCTGTTTCGTCGACGACTCCGCTAAGATCCGTCGCGCTGATTGGGACCGAATAGGGCGACTCGCACTTACCGGATAGCATAGCAGCGCGGATGTCGGTATCTGGATAAAGAGCTATTGTGCCACCAATGGAGACAAAGAGCGATTCGTCGGGAGTGTGCGCCGTCAACTGCTTACGACGGTTCTCCCATACCTCGTTCCTCAGGCAGTTGTGTATCAGGACCTCTTCCTGCACCGGCACGCCGCCCTCTTCTACGTGTTCGCGAATGGCAAGCTTAATGTGGAAGAAGTCTTCTGCGGAGTGTATGCTGCAGTGCCACTTAGACAGCACAAGTTAGCTACTTCTCCAAAAAATAATACCGAGTTTAGGAGATTCTAAGAATTCCCTGATCTAAAATGAGAAAATAAAGAAAAAGAAAAGCCTGCAAAATTACATACCACTTCTTTCCCGCTAAACGTCGAGATGACGGCGAAGAATAAGTAAAAATCAGTCGCCTGTGGCGACTTGAAGCAAATGCGTAGTAACCCCGACGTCAGCAACGAACTACCACCTTCGAAGGCCGGCAGCCGTAGCAGCGCCGTATCCTCGTCAAAAAGGCCCGGGGGATGCGTCTCGATATCGTAACCCACGGCTCCGAGCGGCGCATCCTGCCTCCCCGTCGACAGGAGTCGTTTCGCGGTTGGGTCGGCAAAGAGCAAGATGCCGTGCTTGAATACAGAACGTCTGCGCGGATGATGGCTATATCGGATTCCAGGTTGCGGGACGAACCGAGACCTGATGAATAGGCTGTACCGCTCCCTAGTATCTGTCGCCTTCTTGGATAGGATGACCGGGCTCTCTAGAAATCGGCTTCTGTCGAGTATATTCGAGCCAGAGCGCCTCTGGTTGGTCCGTTGCACTGATGGTAAAGTCGGTTAGTAGGTACTTTCGATGAGAAACGGAGAAAGAAATGGTCTCCGACGTAACATACCAGCAATACAAGCACGCATATCCGACCGACTACCCACAAGTCCCGCATCCAGAACAACAAACAACTGCGTCAGCGTATACACCACAGGCAAGTAAATCGACAACCCCAGATTCGTCATCGCATACGGCATCGGCGCCTCCCACGCATCAACCGGGACGTACTCGCCCGCGTCGCAGAACGCCGCCGGCGACGGAGCCAGCATGCTAGACCAATCCCGCGGCACCACCTCCGCCTCCACCTCCGCACTGCGACTCCAGCAGAATATCGTATGATCGTTCGACGTGCGGATGATCTCCTCCTGGAGCCGGGCAAACGCCTTAGCGCCCCCCTCGCCATACAGCAGCGGCATATTGACATCGAACAAGCCCAGCAGGCAATACGCCGCGTCCTCGGCGCGCGTAGTCCGGCGCCGCGCCGCCCACGACATCTTCTTGGCGATGCTAACGGCGCGCAGGTCACCGCGGCCCTGCAGCAGCGGCGTCTCGATGCCCGTGGCGGCCGAGATATCGCCCGCGAGCTGGGAGCGGTCGCCGATTTCCGTCCAGCACCGCGAGAAGAAGACTAAGCGGCGCGGGCCGATCAGTTCCTGCAGCGTCCAGCCGCGACGGAGCCAGTTGCTCTTGCGGAGCGGACGGAGCGGACCGGCGTCCTTCTCGGGGTGAAGTTTCGGCACGTCGGCCAGGTATGCATAGCACACGGTTGACTGGCGGTACCAATTGTACATGGAGTTGATCGCTTCCGTGAGCTCGGCCGAGCTGGCCTTGTCGATGCAATTGGTGTCGATCCATATCCACTCGATGCCGTCCTGTCGCGCGATCCTGCACGCGCCCTGGATCTTGAGGAACCCGGATTTGGTTGTTGTAGATGGGCTCAGGTCTATGAAGTCGTGAAAGCTGACCTCCTCGCCGTCGATCCATGTATGACTTAGTATTGCATACGGAGGGATTGTGTCGCCTTGGAACTCCTTAAGCTCTAGAGACGTGGTATTTAGCAATCTCATTGCATTTATACTGAGGCAAAAGGCATGTATCTATATCTTCTAATCTCTTGTTTTTCTTCCCATTACTTCATTTCTATCGTGCTGCATGAATATTATAATAGGATAAGCTTGCTTGGCGAGGCTATCTTATTCCATTGGTTAGTGAGATACAAGATTTGTTGTTTCTGTTATATCGTTTCGACTGTTCACGATTATCGAAATATATATATTATATATTAATAATATTCTAGGTTAGCTTATATGTATATCCCACATATTCTCATATAATTAGTTTTATAGATCTGAAATTTAGCGTGGTTCTATTTTTACCCAAAGCACTCCCATGTACGATGCACGAGGAATCAAGGGTATTATATAGGCATAAAAAACTGCATTATGTACCAAGGGTAGGGTACTCAATACATCCCTGTGAGCAGAATAAACTACCTCTCAAGCTTCCTTTATATTCCAAGCTACGCTCTATTAGAAACACAATCACAGCTACTATTACTATTACCATAAAAGTGAAATATAAATCACTTATGATACCGCATCCATTATCTAATAATATACCCCCCTAGAACTTATGGAGCCTATGGAATAAATAGGGGAATCAACCTCAACTAGTTACTAAAACCTTCCAGAAATGCTCCCTATGACAAGAAGACCCAACTAAAGCTCTTAGCACGATATTTGAATATTGCTAAACTTCCATCCATGTGTACTACCATTATCATTTTCATTGACAATTAATACGCCGCGTTTTGCCTATAGAAGTCCTGCGGTGCACTGGGCTCGTTCCCCGGGGGCACGTAGGCTTTGTACTGCGGCTGTTGCGGTTGGCCCAATGGAGCCTGGCTTGGGAGCGACTGCCGGGCATCGAATGCTAGGCCACCTGGATGAAGAGGCGGGGGTGTCATCACGTTCGACGGTGGCTGGACCCCCTGCGGGATCGGAGGTGCTGACCCGGTCGGTTGAGGGGGGATTTGCGAGGGAGCATCGTACGAGTCCTGGCGCTGGACATTGGGGTTATATGCCGAGTATTGCGGCTGAGAGGGCGCTGAAGGGTGAGATGCGATAGCCAGAGGGGTTGGAACACCCTGAGCTGGCCCCGGCGGGGCAGAAGGGACAGGAGCTGAAGGTGCGGAAGGTGCGGTAGCTGTTGGGCTTGTGGCATATGGGTCCTCCTGGGAATAGACTGATGCGGAATAGGGATCGGGTCGACTAGGATTATGGGTGGCCGCAATCGGGGAGTCGTAGGCCGACGTGGCTAATTCTTGAGGATTGCCATAAGTGCTCTGAGGCCGCTGTTCCGCTTGAGCGGGTTGAGAGTACGCCTGGTAAGCTTGCGGCGGCGGAGAAGACGTTTGTAAAGGAGCAGGCTGTTTCCCTGCAGCTATCCGCGAAGGCTGATCTCTTGGCGGATATTGCTGAGGTGGCTGCTGGTTTGCTTGAGCAGGAACTTCTGCACCTTGCAGATAGAAAGGAGCAGGCGCTGGCGTTAACCGCTGGAAACTAGGAGGCGGCGATGTAGCCTGGTATCGGTTCTGTTCTAATTATATGTGAGCCGTCTAGACTCGTGTAAAGATGCCTGCGTCTTACATACCTTGCGGAGGGGGTCCTTGAGGACCGGGGGTGTAAAATCGTTGGGGCTCCTGCTGGTTAGGCGGCGGTCCCTGAGGAGCGAAGCTAGAACCGGGACCCGGGCCACCTGGGCCGCCCGGAACGCCGTACCCGTGTGGCATGAGCGGTCGCGGTGCATACTGGTGGTAGTTCGGCTGCGGCGGGTGGGACATTGAAGATTCTAAAAGTGACTCGTAATCTCTCCTGGCCTTGATAAACTTTTCATTGAGCTGCGTGAAGTCTTCTTTCTTCTGAGAATACTTCTCAATTAACTTAATTAGTTTAGGTCGAATAGCGAGCGTTTGGTGGTATAGTTTCTAGAGTGGTGGTCAGCAATCAATTATGCCTAAACTCGAGTCGCCCTAAACATACCGATATCTCTTCGTTGTCTTCTTCCTTCGGCGATGCATTAGAGGTACTCAACAATGTAAGAAGCTTCTCCACGTTCTTTATTTCGGCAAACACTTCGGCCTCCATTTGCGCCTCGCGGTGGAGTTCGTCAGGGGTTGGATCGGCAAGCTTTTCGACGTAGTTCAAAGGGAAAATACCGGTCCTGCCTTTTAACGAGCCTCGCCACCAATCTTTATAGACGGACTCCAAAACTGCTATAATATCACCCTTCTTGAATTCAAGTTCGCCGGGCTCGGACGGCGCAAAATCGTAGAGGGCGCGGACTCGCGATACGGTGGCAGCTGTCGTGCCCGTGGGATGGGAAGGCACTGATTCCACCGGAGCAGCCGTTGCACTCGGTCCAGCGCTAGAGCTAGGTCCTGCGACGGAAGATGTAGGTTGCGTACCCTTTTTCCTCTCTTCCTCTTGTAACGATAGCTTTAGTGCTATCTGCAGCTCTTCCTCCTCCTTCTGACGATCTAAATCGGTAAGACCAGTCTTCTGTGGGGCCGAGGGTGGCTGCAATGTCGGATTGCTCTGTTTAAGGCGGTAGTAGGCATCGTACATGATCCCAAGGTCGGCATCCTTGCTAAACATGTCGGACCACTCCTTCATCCTTTCGAGGATCTTCACCTTGACTTGTTGGTGGGTATTCCGGTCGTTGGCAAGTTTAAGTAAGGCATCGGTAAAGGCGCGGCTGGCAAGCTCTCGGTGCATATTCTTGCCGCAGTTCTGGGAGAGCGCATTTGCGAGCTGATAAACCGGATATGGTCAGCCTGAAAGAAACTGGACTCGTTTATTAGACCACCTACCTCGAGGGTGTAGAGTTGAACATTAGCGTTGCGATGCGCCAGACGTTTGATTAAACTCTGAACTGCTTGGTTGGGGCCATTTGGATCGTTTCCTACTTTGTCGCAGACCTCTATAATGGCTCCCCAATCCTCCGACGTGAGATTCTCATCGGTCGCCTTAGCTGTGAGTAATGTTATGTTAGTTTGTGACTATATTGGGGGCTATATGTGGTTACGTTGCATGTAAACATACCGATCACTTCGTCATAAGGTCCGACTGCTGTTCCCCGAAACATACTGGGCAGCAGGAGGGGTGAAGAAAAAGACGATCCTTATGACTTGGATATTGTCGCTAACTTAAACGTCGCACTTTTCGTTCTTATGTATAGATTTGAGTTGGGTATTTTCTGGCAGGCGAACGATTTATTAAACGTATGACTGTGGCGTTGGGTATTCGTGGTTGTAGCTATAATGTTGTAGTTGTAGTTGTAGTTGTTAATGTTAAGATGAAGATATGCAGTGGTGGAATAATAAGGTACATGTACCAAAGCTTGCAGCCTAGAGGAGTGCATGCGGTAACATGGAGTAACATGTAATTGATGACGTTGGCCTGTGCTTGCTTTTTTTACCTGCCTCAATTACTAGCCTTAGGTACGTAGTGACAAGGTACCCGGGCCCCATTAGCCAAGGTACCTAGGCACTTTAGCGTTCTATTCAAAGCCCCCAAGGCTCGGGGCAATGGGGGGCAATGGGGCAATGCAAGTGCCCGGATAGCTCTGACCATGGGATTTAGAACGATGGAAGCCCCATTAAACCTTATTAAATAACGCGCAATGCAGTGACGTTGGAATATTTCTATTGTTATTTCTATCAATATTTTTACTGCGCCTCAACTTTCCGATTCTCGGCTTAGGTGGAACGAAGGGCAAAGTCTAATAATTCGAAGATCGTTATGTTTCTAGTATTAATAACCTAGTAGTAAAACTCGTAAAGACATAACTATTTATATTTAAATATATACATATATACATCTACAATCATAACTAACATCGGTTCCTTAGTTATGGTCTAAGCATTAAAATAAACCTCCTAGGGCGAATTTATATGGTAGGTAGTAAAGTAGATCGCGAAATATATGTACTTCGATTCATCTCGTAAATACCCATCATCTCATATACATACAAGTTTGGACCCAATGAAAACAACCTCGAGAGGCGAAAAGAGTCTCATGTTAGTAGCGTTGTACTATATCCTTTCTATTCCATCTACAGGTGATGCGTTCTCCAGGAATGGGACTTTGCCCTTGGTTCCTTTTGTAGTCTTATAGCACTCCATCCACGACCATAAACTTGAGATCAAACGAGGCCATCCGCATGCAGAAATACCAACCCTCCTGCCATGTTCCGGGACCAAAAAACGCCAGACGGTCTTCCTCGAGCGTGATATGATAATGGACCTCACAAACCCCACTCTAGACTCCGGCCGTCATCAAGAATAGTCATGTCCGTCCAAAATGCCATCAAACTCCTATCAAAACAACTTCCGAACCATCCAGGAAATAACAATGGCAATCTGTAGGTGCAGTAGATCTCAGGGGACGTATCCGTGTCCAGCGGCATGAAACCCCCGCCGCCACCTAACGAGTTCCTATTCCATACATATATCATCAATCCACGACCAAAGACAAACATTACACAACAATCTATCTCAACAGCGAAATGAAACACCCTCATGGGGCTCTAGGTAGGTGTAGTGGGATACGAAAATTTTACCAACGGCGGTTCCTATGGCTTGTTTCGTATCCTCCCCTGTCACCTGTAGATCCCACGCTGCCGCCACCCCTACCTTCCTCTAGACTGCGACGTGATTGTTCGCGGGTGATCTCCGACATGTCGAAAAGAAGCGGCTCATCATCGGTCTCGTCCGCGACGGTGCCTGCCACGCCTAAGCCGGTAGCACCTCCGCGTGAATAACCTCTGCCGAATCTACCACTAGATCCTGCTAGACTGCCGCTTCCAGAATGGGGAGGTGTTATCCCCCGGCCAATGCTATTACCATAACGTCTAGTATAGGGTGAACTAGAAAATCCTGTGTAAAGACCACCAGGAGGCCGGACTTCCCGTTCAACGGATTCCGATTCCTGCTCAAGCGTATCCGGCGAATTCGTTGCCCTAATATCGACAGGGGATTGTAATCCAGGCGTATCCACCGTGCCATCAGCTTCGGCAGCACCTAATCCTAGCAAAACGCTCAAACTAGGCGGCTCGCGGTCATCCGCGCCAAGACTAATGCTACGATGCGCGTCAACATCATCATCGTCAACCAGTGCGCGGTTTTGATGAGCCACGGAGCTTGATCGCCTTCCGTGCGGATAAGGCCGCGGAGAGGTCGGAATATCGATCGCAGTGGTTCCCTCATGAGTGGCTTGTACACTGACCGGCTCTTCCGCGAGGTCTTCGACATTGCGCGACCGCGACGTAACCCTTGCGGTAGGCGCGTAGTCGACACTTGAGTTTTCGCTCAACCGTGATGGAATGGCCGGCGTGTGCGGAGTATGAGGTGATAACGGTTTCCCCGGAGATGATGATGTCGACATCCCTGGAACATTGGCTAATTGTCGACTCGAGGAGCTAGACGAACGGTGTAATTGCATAGACGAGTTCATGGATTCGGTGAGGGCATTGTTCGACTCGCGCATAAGATGGAATTTAGATAGCTGAGCGGCTGTTCTCTTAGTCGCTGACTCACCCTTCTTGGTAGGTTCAAAACTTTGTAGTGTTCTCTTGCTTTCAATTAGCTTTAAGAAATCCTGGATGTTATCATCATCTGTCTGGAAGGACCCAGAACTGCCACCCGCCCCGAGTTCATTAAATAATCCAGAACCAGGTTGTACAGTGGAAGATGAGAGACTTTGTTTGCCGCTGCTATTCTGATCGTCATCTCCTCTATTAGCACCGCTAATCGATGGCCGACTACGACGATGCGTGAAGCTGCTACTAAACCGATTAGAGACCGATGGCCTTGGCGAGCTTGCAACAGAGTTATCTGCCGCAGTTGGAGGTGGCACTCCTCGTAAGGAAGCTGCCATTCCAGCTGTTAGCGAGGAACGGCTCCTCACGTGTGCGCTTAAACCCGAAGTCCGATTAAGGGAATGCGGTGACGGCGGAACATCTTGGTCCTGTAATCGAGTCACGGGCGAGCTCGAAAGGGATCCATGCTTAAAGGGAGATGACTGGAAGGAGACAGACGGACGCCTCGGTCCGTCTACCCCTCTAAGAGATGGTCGCCGAGCAGGTCCGGTAATAGGGAGAGTGTGAGGGGGAGCTTCAACGCTTGCGGGTCTAGAATCGGTTGGTGAACTGGTATCCGAGCCTGGGGCTTTAACAGCTTTTAATGCTGAAATCGGGCTGGTACCAATGGGCCCTTCGCCATGAAAGGTGGATAAGCTACCATACCGTTGCTGGTTCTCTGTGACGTCGTGTGCGTGGCGGTGGTATGGAAGCGACCCAACTTCGGGAGCGTATGATTCGTGGCGTCCATGTCCACGATGGGGTAGCGACGGCTTAAACATGTCGTCGGAGATGGCCATGCCGATACGGGAACTCAGTAAAGATTCGGTCTCAACGACCTGGAAATTGCAGTTATTGCGGTAAGAGACAGAAACATAGAAACGTCCCACAGGGATTTCCAGGTCGCCAAATACGCAATCCGTAGAAACATCCCCCCTTCCGTTATATAACGGCATCCTCAGGGTGTCTGACCCATACGCTGGGGCCTCACCTGAAAAGACTCGGCAGCGAATTGACAATGCGGGATGGCTGCCTTTAGTCTTAGAATTCCTGGCTAGTTTCCATGCTGGCAAGATACCTGTAGTCGTATATATAGATCGCATCAAGACGATGGCCTTTTTGTATACTGTTGGCAGTAGAAGACCAAAGTCATCTGATTTATCGGGATTTGGCCCTTTCAAATCAACACGCCACCGTTCTAATACAAGCTGCGTAATAGGCTCACCCTGACGACCAGAGCTGCTATCACTAGACTGATCGGAAGAGTTAAGAGCTTCGACGACATCCCACCGTTTCCCATTTTCGTCTACAATGACTAGGCTCTGGCCGCCCTTCAACCAGGATGCATCAAGATAAGTCTCGATAACTAATGGAGGAGGTCGATTTTCGAATCCACCACATTGTTTCCATATGCGAAATTCTTCTCGGAAATCATCGATGTCGTCGGTATCGAGCTGAAACTATAAAACAGTAGATTGTGAGATTCATTGCAAATACCCCTATTTAAGATCTAGACTTACCCATCGACTTGTTCTCTTCTCGTGGGACCTACCCACAAGAATCGGGGTTACCTGTATGCGTGCCTGCAGGATGACGGTGCCTGCCTTCGAGTAGATATTCTATATTAATAGACTACTTGTTAGAATTCATGAATGAGGCAAGTTGGGGGGACATGACACCAACCTGAATGATCTGGTCCAATTTCTTGATGGACTCTCGAGTAGGACCGCCTCCATCACCGCGATTACCGCCGCCTGCTCCTGTCGCCGCCCCTTCCTGAGCCCTAGAGCTTGGTCTAGACGATGTGCGACTACTAGGACTTGCTGAATCTCTCTGGTTGTTGGTTCTTGTGGGGTTTGTCTGGGACGATAAGGCGGGCGAGGCTGTGCGAGGCGGGGCGCGGGGGGTCTGATGCATCGTGAAGTCGTCGCGACCCAGGCTACGGTTAACCTGGTAGTGGATGGGTGAAACCAAGGGGGAAAAGACGTAATTGATTTGCCGTTGAGGTCGGATAATGCACAGTCTCGAGAATATATCGAGTAATCTGTATCACTGGGCGCAGAAGAGGCGATATAGCAGGCGAGCTAGGGTGTATTACGAAGGCCCAAGTACGTTCGTTAGATGGAAACGGAAGTTCTAGCTCGATGCCACCGAACTTTGGCATCCATTGTTCGTAACCTGGAGTATAGGTAGGTAGGCAGACAGATAGGCAGACACGGGTATCCACAGATTGTTTATACAAGCTTATACAGAAGTCAACAGAGACAGCCAGTCGCGGCATGTATAGGCTGGGCAGGCTGGACGGGCTGAATGTTGAAACACGTAGGCAGACATATAACAACAAAAGAAGAGGAGGGTCCAGACAAAGCGCCGATTGTGTTGAATTGGATTGTCTAAGTATTGATCTGTGTGTAAATGGTAATGAGTAACCGGTAGAAGAACGTGGCGGGCGGCTCTGCTAACTGGATGCGGGTGGCTGCAGGGTTTTGGCTTGGGTTTTGGGGGGGTTATTTAAGGAGGAGCTAGGTAAAGCTGGTATAAGCTGGTTAAGCTAAGGTTTATTAGGTGGACAGTGCCATTGTCGCTGAATGTACCTGAAGAGGAGGAGAGAGAGAGAGTAAAATATAGAGGGTTCAGGGTTAATGGTTGAAAGTCGATGGTTGATGAATAATTGCTAAAGTTGAAATCTCGATCCTATCAGAGATAGAGATGAGAGATAGAAGATGGGAGTCGGCGCAATCGAAAAAACGGTATAGATGTAAATAGTAAAGGGTAAATGACAAATGATGTAAACTATGCGATTAATCGCAAAAGATATCCAGACTTCCAAAAAAAAAAAAAAAGAGACGAAAGAGTCAGACGGGCTTCTTCTCCTCGTGATCTCTTTTTCCCAGGTTTCCAAAGGGGTATCAAGGACCTTGTGGCCATCCGTCATCGGTCCGGACCGTGCTAGTTGAGGATTGGCGGAGAGTTGGGAAAGTTGACCAAAGCAAGCAATAGTAGCAAAAGGCACAGAGGCACAGAAGCAGAGGAGAAAAAAAGAGATAGGATGACGAACCGACCGCCTGATAAGAGTTAATGTTAGGTAGGGTAAGTAAGCCAAGACTAAAATATGGAATTTGATTGGTTCTTTATGACGATTTCGTTAGCTGTTTTAGTACATAGAACCTTAATTATGCATAGATACATTAGATACGTTGCTTAACGTTGCTTATCACGACATAAAAATGTACAGTATGTATATTTAAGTAGAAGACTGTAAGGAACATTTTAAACATCAAAGTCATTTAAGTCAGAGACTTTAAAGGTTAAGACATTCAACTTTTTCCATAAACCTTCGAGAATGATATCTATGTCACTATAGATAACTGACAATAAAATTAAGGGTTCTGCACGCGACATGTCAAGGATTAAAAGTAAAAGATGATGATCAAAGAATACCAAAGAACAAAGATATTAGTTCAAGTAACGCGTGAACAATAACGAATATTATGAGGTAGTGGTACTTAAATTTACTACGAAATACCAAAGATTCACTTGAAAATACCCCGTTCCTGACCTCTTATTCCCCAACTATATGCAGGATTATGCTGCGACCAGGCAGGCCACAGGTACGGAGCCACGCAGCAGCGGCAGGTCTTTGCAGGAGTCATCTCCAATCAGTACGAATAGAGAAACCGGAGACCAGGTTGAAGTTATACGTATATGTGTTGTTTAGGTATCTATCTAAGGTACGTATGTCTACATGATAGATATCTTCTTGGGTGGCGGAACCGACTAGTTATCATCTTCCCCTTAAAATAAAAACGTGTCTTAGATACCTTATCTATATAAATTGATGTAAAAGGACTTACACTCCATATACTCTTTGCTACCATTCACCTTTTTAGATAACGTCAGTAGGTCACTTACACACCGGTTCATCTGACCAACTTGGTTGACTGTATGTATACCACCTCCGATAAGATGTCCCCGTGTAGATGAAAAGAAACATGTTACCCCTAGCGGTAGATTGTTCCTGCGTTGGGAACTTCTTGGTCGTATGCATGGCAAATCATGTTGCAATTCTGACGGCTAACTCGGATTAAATATCATTGGACCACTTCACTCATTATAAAGGCACACACAATGCAGCATGTAACAAGCACGATTTATTTCCATGAATACTTGTTCCCATTTACACAACCACCAACAACAACAACACCCCCAGCTGATATCAACTGGCGGTCTCAAACAACGTGACGTGGCGTGGCGATTAAATATAAATAACATTTATTTAGGTATTTACGACAACTCGCATATTAAACCCTCGAAACCTACTGGAAGCTCGCCTCGAGTAAATGAGGTTTCCTATCTTTCAGTCCTAGCAGCATTTCTCCAAATAAGCCGTTAGCCCAGGAAAACCACTCCCGTGTCCATACCGACGCATCGAACGTATCTACAGATTCGTGAATCAACCCCAACCCGTCGGTAGATGACACCAGCTCCTGCAGTCCCGTAAGGATCTCATCATCGTCGTCGGAAGTCAAGAGTGACGTGATGATCGACATTGGCCAGGCTTTTCCAGGCCCCACGTGAGGACCTCCGGTACTGGCTGCACGTTAGCATCGTTACTTTGAATCGTGTCCTTCATATATGTAAGGTTAGGTTAGGTCGGTAAAGCCCACTTACCCATTCAGCACGGGGCCGTGCATATAATACGGGTTCCACGTCGAAAGCGCAAATTTACGGGTTCTCTGATACGTCTCGTCCGATGCATCTAGATAATCTAGAAGCGGTGCGCTCAGTAAACTTGGGACGTTGGCATCGTCCATCAGGTTTCTCGACCCAAACCCATCGACCTCATATGCGTATATCTCTCCCAAAACCTCGTGCTGCACCTTACCGTGTGTTTCAATCCCTTCTCGCACGCTGCATGCGAAATCGCTCATGCGTTTTGCGAGTTCGGGATCGTGCGCCTCCATAATCTCGGCGGATTTTCCAAGATAGCTCGAGAATTGCATGTTTGCGGGAATAAACAGTTGGTAGATGGTTGAGTCATCCGAAGGGCGGAATGCACTGCGAACCAATCCGGTACCGCTTTTTACGGGGTTTCCGGCTCCGGTATTTGCAAGAGTCTCCGTTGCACTGGTGCTTTGTCGTTGAAATGTATACGGCGACTCGTTAACAGACCCGTCATCACCGTATGTTCCAACAAGGAGACCTTCCGTCACGTTAAGAATTGTCTCGACGGCTTCAACCCATCGGAACTTGCCAAAGAAGTCGGAATCCTCGGTTTTATTATAATAGTCGTATGATAATTGCAGGAAAGCTGAAATCGAATCAAGCTCGTACTTGCATTCGAAAACAAAGCTGGTGTTATAAGGGGGCGTCACTTTGTCAGTGTCTGCATAACCATTGCTCTCTGGTGGTAAACCCGACTCGGTTGGTGCTTGGAATGCATTGCAATATGGATTTCGGATGACGTATCGCGCCTGTAAGTTAATCGCACCGCGATAGAGGGATGCTATCGAATCGGGAGAATCATCTGCCTTAAGAAGTGACTTATAGCTACGCAATTGGTTGGCTGAATCGCGAAGCCACATAGCCACAATATCCCCGGTCGTGACAAAGGTAAGCTTAAACGGTGTTAATATGATAGGTATTAAATAAGTATTATGAGCGTAGAAGCGGATTAGTATACCTCTTCTGTCGAATCATCTTCTGCATAGCCTTTCCATTTCACCGTGGTGTCCAGTGTGTTCGGGAAGGTATTTTCAAATAATCGGAAGAGATCCGGGTCCTTCACCACCGCTTTCATATCCTGGATGACCTTCTCAACATCCGAAACGTTGGCTGTCCGGCATGCAGCTATTGGCCTCTGATATGAGAGCTGATACTTCCCCGCCGAGAAGGGCTCGTGGGTGGCCATGGAGTAATCCGAGTAATCAGGACATTGTGCCGAGACCGTAGACAATCCCCCGAGGGAGAAAGTGGACAACAAGAGTAGAAGACGCATTGCACCTAACTCCAGAATCTTGGAGAGATCTCTAAGAACGAGTGATGGATAAGGAATACCTGCAGACGTGATTCTGGGGTTACCCCATGGGAAAAGAGCGAGGCGTCCAGTGATATTTGAATTCATCAATCCGACCTGTCCTTTGTTTTCCCCAGCTGGACTTTCTAGACCGCAGATCGGCGTCAGGCTAACCATGCTGTTATGTTTGCAAAAGATTCCTGACTGGTCATGTTTATCACCCTTGCAGACGCCCTGGCTACATATGAGCATATGACGTTAATTTGGGGGAGCTATCATTATAGTGGTCCGTGGGAATAGCATGAATACCTAGGCAAAGCCGAGATAGGTCGAGGAGAATGCGGGGAAAGCCTGCTGCATTCTCAATGGGAACACTGCAGGGGCAGTAACTCGTGATCATTTAACTGTTTGTCGAATGGTTTTTTGTTTCTCGACCTGGGCATCGCATTTTATTGGTAGAAGTGCAAACAGGGAACTGGTGTACTTGCTGTCTTTCCGACGGCCGAATCCTCCCTTTGTGAGCTTCCTAATGAAGCTTTGCTGATCGGCATCTCCCCCGCTCTTGAGGCTCATGGATAGTTGGGGTAAGATGTCCCTGAATAATATGTAAACATGGGGATATTCGGGATTTTAGGTCCAACGCGAAAGGAATGATAAATTAGAGCACAGACCTTTACTCATTCTATTATTTGACTGTTGGTCTTTAGAACAGACTGGCTCGATTTAATTATGTATGATTAGTTGGGTTTCTTTACCGCTTCATTCCTTTGATATTCAGCTAAGCTAGGATTATGTTGAAGTTGACAAAATTACGTGCAAACATATTATATTAGACATTATCCACTACATAACTACTACGCTTCATTTGAAATCTAGATTATCCTGACAATATACTAATCGCATATCCATTAGCCTGTGTTTGCTTATATTCATTTTTTTGGTATATTTTCAGTGTTTCTTTTTTTAGTTATGAGACGCGTATCGACGCGTGAATAATAATTTGCTCGAACATTGTTATAAAAATTTTCTGTTCACAATTACATCCATAACTCTAAGTACACTCATTCCATAACTTCTGCTGAATACCTATCTATCAACTTACCTAACGCTTCACGCTCATGAGATTCCATGTCCAGCTCGAAAATCCCATTCCATCTTGGTGAGAGCAACTCTCTCATTCGCATGGATACCTATCTATCAGTCCACAGAGTATCTTACCTGTCTCACGGCTAGAGTCGATGGCTCGCTGACACGGAGGACGCCGTAGTAGATCACACGCTTCAAATGCAGCGCCAATCTCACTTAGAGATGAGATATTAGCGAAATGAGTTCCATGGACAATCGCGTCTTCAATGGCTAATCCTGTTCCGGAACCTTTCCACGACGTGGTTGCATGGGCAGCATCATCCATAAGGCAAACGCACCCGCGGACCTATGTTGGGGTCGATTTATGTTCCCATTGAGAGTACCCGTGAGTTCTAGTTGGTCGCAAATGAGCTGCGAAAGGGTTAGATTTTCTTTTGGTCATGGAAGTAGGATCAAATAGGGTATAACTTATGCTAACCATACTATCTACAACCGGGCCACACAACCAGCTACTCAATGAATCTCTCAACACATCTTCCATGAGCGGGCGCTTTCTGTCTCTACTTGCCGAGGGATCTTTTTCAATACCTGATACCACACACTGGACCATGGTTACGTTTTCCAGGACCTTAGTTCCTTGTTTGGTAAGGGACAGGGTGCTGCCTTAGAAAGGCCTCACATTAGCACAAGATAAATATCTGCTATCATCTTCTACGTAAATACCAAAGCCCCAATATTTTTCTGTCTTGGACCTCTTCAAACCTTTATAATGTGCCACAGCGGAATTGTCTTATATACGCTCAGTCTAACTCTTTAGTGAGAGGTGCGGTTTGATCAGTAATAAATTCAGGATTTAGCATATACCATCTTCTCCTTTTACCATTAGGGCAAGGAAATATCTAAAATCCGAAAAAAACCAACTGGAATTGAAGAAAACGCCAATTTAAACTACCTAAACCAAATATCCATATTGCATCAATTTAACACTGCACCAGTGCAAGCTACCCCCCTACCGCGCAACATGCCCATTCAAGCCTGGATACGCTGGATGAGCTCATCGCCTAGGCTTTGAATGCTCTCCTCGAATTCCTCGAAGTTCTGCGCATCCCACTTAGCTCCATCCGCCCCAGGAACAGCATCGTCACCGGTGAAAGCAATGAATAACACGTCGTTCTCATCGTGTCCATTGTTTCCAGTTATCCCATTTCCGAAGCAAGCCGTAGCCAACGAAATCGAGGCCTCTCCAACAACGGACTTCTCGCCGTCGGCGCCGTTCTCGTCACCCCAGACTCCGTAGATCTTTATCTCAGTTAGCTTCACCATCGTTTTTTCGTTGATGGGGATAGATGTTCCTTACCAGCTTATCGCCACATACGACGGCCATGACGCTCAATGGTTGGATGCCGTACTCTTGAGGGTCGAATGATGTAAAGCCGGGCTTGTCGCCCACATTTCCGAAAACGACGTAGGGGTGGATCTTGGCATCCAAGTCTTCGATACCCTTGCCATATTCCCTTACGGTGTCGGCGAAAGACGTGATTGACTGGGTATCGTCGGAGTTTCCGCATCGGCCGTCGTCAGCGGGGCCGCCCTGAGTACCGTCGCAGTCGATATCCATGTTGGCGAACTGGCTGTTACCACCTTGGATGTAGATGATCCTGGAGTCTTCCAAATGGTCGCTACAGTAGCTGAAAGCTGTGCCATATTAGCTGTGTATGGATAAGTTTAAGAAGGGTAGAATTCGTTACAATTATCGTCATTGTATTCACTGTAGAACCCCGTAGCTAAAGGATAGCTGCATTGCCCACTGCCCTGGATATTGTTGTAGAGGTTCCGAATATTCGATGGGACGTCTCTGGCAAGCGTCGCACCTACAAGCGTGGAGACCCCGATAAAGCTCTTAAGAGACATTTTGTAGTATATAAAAGAAATAGGCTATCTTGCAATGTTGATGAATGGTGGTGAGTGTTTGGTTTACAGAGTCTAGCCTACATTGAACGGAGCAGTCCGGCTCTATTTGTATGAAATCCATTCGTAGGCTGATTATGGCTTGATACATGCCCCTTTCTATAAGGAGCGCCATCGTGCGGTCCTAATAAGCTCACCGTCGCTGAGATGGAGCCGTAGCTATAATTAGATACCAGATCTGCATACTGTTTACGGACTGTTCTGGCGATTCTAGTAGGACTGCGGCTGAGATTAGTGACATTCAATTGAGTATGACATAAACGGCATGTCTCTGATTAATTGTAGCTATGCTTTGATGACATCAACTTATTGAATATTCTGACAGATTTGCCAAATATCGTATCAGTAGTTCTCAAAGTTGCTTTAATGCAGTCTGGAAACGATCCACATACGAAACAGCAATTGACTGTTCCGGAAGCTGAGATTTCGTGACTAAACCCTTTAAATAGGTTTCCTTCTGTGAAGCCTTATTCTATTGGCTTACTCGTAAGCAGGCTGCGCGATATACTACCCTGTATTCCCCATACTGTAACTTCATATTATAACTCCTTCCAAACTCGGAAATGCATTGGTAAAATACAGCCCAGATTTTGCTTAACTTATGTTCATAAACAATTTGAAAACATAATACCAACCATTTTCCTACTGAACCAAAAGTTAAGATTGATATATTCGATACCTTTGGCTGACGTTTGTTGCGTCCGAACAATTTCACTCATCCTTGAAGGTAATAAGCAACTGGATTGGCACTATGAAATATCACTCAGAGTTCAGTAGGAGCTTTTCTTCGGTATGAATGTGCATTCATTCGAGATCATATAAATACTCCTATTCTATCCCATTCAGTTATTTAAATTCGTTCTTGAAGATACAACACCAATCTCGAGTACAGAATCTTAACTACGAAATAATTCGTTCGTGGTAGGGTATGTCCGTTCTATTTTGCAAAGTCTGCTGAGTCTGGTAAGTTTCTTCTAAACTCATCAAAAACATAGGTGACATTTTTCATAAGTATAAATTGAGATGGAGGGCTTAGTCTTAAAGTACCTAGGTAAGGTAACCTTTTATTTCATTCATATCATTGTCCAAGATTCCTCCCCGGGTACCTGGCTCAAAACATTATCTCGGTGCTAGGTACCCTTCTAGGTCCATTTCACCCGACACGATGAAATTCCCTAGAACTAGGTAAGATGCTAATAAAATGGAAAAAGTTCGGAGTTACCAGAGATTATGATAACTTCGTATATCAGCAGATGCATGAACCAATCATAGGAAGGCGATATGAGTTGTGTCAAGTAATTCACCTGTTGCGGCGGAATTAATTGAATCAATTTTGAAACTCACCTGATAGTAATTCTTTCCGCCGCCCGAGAATCTCGTCAATGACAAACGGGCGGGTATGACAACCAGAAATGGTCAATGTTCCCAATAAAAAGTCGTCCGCAGCAAGAACTCTAAGTACTAATTGAGAAATATAAGCGAGGCGGAGGATAATTCATAAAGGGACACGGTCTTGTTGGGAATGTAAACGGCGAAAGATTAGGTGCATATTCGTATCATCTGAATACGTTGTTTGTACCGATTGCCAACGCCGCCGTGTCGCGGCTCTTTTTCTCTCCTGATCTGAACTGCTGTTCTTGACTCTTGCTTCGTTTCGGACTGGTCTATCATATATGTCCCGTACAGAGTGTAACGAGTGAACGGGTGATCTTAGCTATATTTCACGAGCCCAAATAATATTTGAGAATCAAAATTTAATCTCTAGGCTCATACTACGATTGCTAAATGATACTTGAGGTTACCCACAGCGTTCAGCACACTTAAAAACAAAACCAAATATAAGCAAAACATAATTGTGCAAAGCAAGAAAAATTTCCCATAAGGGAGCAAGGCATATATTCCAAATAGGAAATCTTTACTCGCATTTGACACAATATCCTATATAAGGTAAATAAACCTAGGGCAATGATATTCATCTTCCTAAAAGAGTGGATGCTTCCCAATATCAAACGTGACAGAATAAAAACCCCAGTATCGTCCTTCGGTCGCGGAAAACACTTCGCCAATCCTATGTGTATTCCTACATATCCATGTGTCTGCCGGGGAGACTGGTAACCCCTATCAGATGATTCATTAGCTTAGAGCACGTTAATTAGCCGCGCAATAACTTACATCCGTCGATATCCTCATTGACGGTGCTCTTGATGGTGCATTTATTCGCCTGGTCTACACTCTGAGTTGTAATTCCGTTGCTGAGGAGAGGCGTGGAGTCCATGGCGCGCTGAAGAGCATCGCCCTTCCAGCCGAAGAGGTAGTCGCCGTGAGTTCCGTAACCTACGCTGTCTTCATAGCTCCACACGAAGGGTTGAGAACCGTCCGCGGGCCATATAGACTTGTCGTTGAATGGAGTTGTGTCCCACATAGTCTCATAGGCAACTTGGGGTACACGGACGGGATGCGACGATGGGCAGGCGCCGGCAGTTGTGAACCCTCCCCTGTTCGTGTTGTACATGTGGTCTTGGTGGTTGGGGCTGTCGAGGTTCTTGCCATCCCAGCATCTGCGCAGTAGTTAGTGGACAGGTATTATGACTACCTAGGTATAAGCTTTACTAACGCTGGAAAGTGGTGAATAGCCATGATGCCCGCTTTACACGGCTCCTTGGGGAACTCGGCGGTTTCGGGGAACCTCGTCATAACGTCCTGCAGACAAGTATAACGTAGGCCGGGGTTGGTACCGTCTTTGCTCTCCGGTGATCCAACGGTCATGCGGAAACCCTAAGGCTGTTAGGTGGTCCGTTATGGTAATAGGGGAAATAGTCATACAGGCTTGAAAGCTGTGATCTTCTGGTTTCCGTTCGAGTTGAACGACTCCTGGAGGTAGTAGATGGTCATCCCACCCTTAATATTACCTAATAGAGCATTTGGATACTGGGGTACACGCTTGTATGTTCCATTACGGGCTTTAAAGTATAGGACAGCGGTCCAGTAATTAGAGAAGTCCTCGGAAAATGTGCAGGTTGTGCAAGTAGCCCTCTGACTGACGTCTTGGGTAGGGTCCATGGTTGCGTTAAAGCCATTTCCACCAACGATCTGGTGGAGATGTGCCGAAGGGACGACGCCGGGTTCAACGAGAGGGTCCAAACGCTGGACGCTGAGGGTGGCACATCCGAAGCGGAGGTACGCCTGAGAGGGCGCAGCGAGCGCAAGGGTAAGAGAAAGAAAAGATCCCTTCATCTTGATAGTATTGATAATGAAGTCGGCGTTGATATTAGTAACGCAACCCGGAGACGGTGGTGATACCGGAAGGCAGGCGGATGAAGTCACATCTACACTAACATATATACAGAACGTTGGACTCTAGCTCTAGTAGCGATTCGCTTATGCCGCACCGGTCGGTAGAATATCCGGTCTTGTCTTGTCTAATTCGTATTCATCCAGAGATATATAATTAAGGTAATTATATCTATAATTACTAGAACCACTCACCTGAACTACTTGGCTATGACGGCAGCTAGGCCGAACAATGTGTAGATGTAGTTGTTTGATATGAATGGTTCCTCCGCATTGGTAGCGGATATGCCGCCCCTGGGAAACTTGACAAGCATCGAGCGATTCGAAGCATTACGAAATCATTGTATAGAGTAAACGGCAATTATATGATTGGATATCAATCACACACTGCCGGGAACCCCCGTTCCGAGACCCCGAATCTAGGAAGCCAGGGGTAAAATATCCCCTACCACATTTCCCGTCTCCTCATGGCTGACCCCGGACCCAGATACCCACCTCTGCCGCACGTGCCCTCCGACTGCCGGCAATCCTATTCCGTCCGGCAAACAGCTATTCGCTTTGCTTTGGGATCCTGGCAGTCAGTAGCGAAAATTAAAGGCCCAGTCTTGGCATTCTCCCTCCAAAACAACACCATATAATATATTCAAAATAAGCATGAAAAACAGGGTTAAAAAAGGAAAAAAATTATATATTAGCTCCTTAGCCTTTATTATCATTATGGGTAATTTTTATAATTTATTACCTCAAAAACGGTGGAATCATATATGCGTAAATGCTGATTCTTTAAGAAGGGCTAAATGCCAAGACTGGGCCTTTAATTTTCGCTGGGGGCTGCCTGGCTGCTTTCCGGTCAGCGAGTAAGATTTGCATTGGAAATCGGTAAAATTATAGTCCTAGCATCTAGCCATCTCGTAAAGATGAAAAAATGATGGTCATGGAACCACATGTTTGAATTATTGAATTAAAATTTCTCTGAAAATTTTACATTTCTATTTCTTATACAATCATTCCATCTGTAGCCAAAATTTACGAAGATATTTAGACCTTATTCACAGTTTCGTAATGACCAAAGTCCGTGTCTCGACGCTCTCACGCGGGGGCGCTTGCTGTGTCGCCATCGAATTTTCTACGGATACATGTGGACAGTCTGAAGCTAGATGTTAGTAGAAATCAGGCTTTTGAATATTGGTATAATCGCACTTACATCTGGCATTTGAACCTGAATGGCTGTCATAGGTTAAGAATAGAAAAGGCTCCTTAGACGTTTGGTTAGGCAACCAATACCAATGCTGCTCCTTGTTATATTTCAAATAGTATATCTCTTGAGTCCAATCAGGGTACACTCTGTCGGTGGCAACGAGGTCATTTACGTCGATCGAGCTGTAGTCACACAATGCAAGAGGGCGGTCCTCGCATTCAGGTAAAATAGGACGCCACGTGCTATAAGAAAAGATTAGTGATTATTGCGATCGTCATCATGAAGGGCCACTTACTTGATTAATCTAAAACGGTAGCCAGGCTGGAAGAAAGTTTGGAGCTGCTCCTCATTGAGAACGTTCTTCAGGAGCCGCGGTACAGTATCCAGAGATATGTCTAAATATGATGAGAACACACCAGCCATATTTATGTCAAATTACGAACCGACTATATGAAGTTAGGTCAGTGTATAATAAGCTTTATAGAAGTCTTACCATGTGCGCCCACAGCAACTTGCTCCACCAGAAGTGGATCACTTGGGTCATAGTTTTCGAGAACCATAGGAGCATTTTTACGCATCTTGAAGTGTTGTTAGCAACAATCTAAACTGCTGATATACGAAGTTATCACAATCTCTGGTAACTCCGAACTTTTTCCATTTTATCATAAACATACTATCAGAATACTCACTTTGTAATCATAGCAATGAACAAAATCTGCTTTGAAGAAAGACCGCAGCAACTCCTCGTTCTCAGCACGGTACTTTTTCATCAGTTCAATGTCTACCCCAAGACTTGGGACATATTTAGACTCATGCTCGACGTAGCAGAATCCATTTCTATCCAAACTGATATCGTTGTCATTGCGCATACTATGCACGGTTACTGGTTTATTCTCCCATTCGACATTTGTTGTATCAATGGCGTCAAGACCGACTTTAGCAGTTGCTGAAGGATGGAGAAAAAAAGGCTTCTCTTCACTGTATAGAGGAATATCAGCGATGAAATCAATAGTAGTCTGCATTTTAGCTTCTGCAACTATATTTAATTTAAGAGTGGGCGGGTGGGCGAGTGGAGGCTGGGAAATGCTGCATTCCATCACTTACTACGAGATATTCAAAGAAAAAGGGAGATATAACTAGAAGGAAATCAACCCTCAGATACTAGATAGAACTTGGAGGTACTGAAAGCAGAGCCTCATTCTCGACTTTAGATACATAGGTACCTCTAGTCGGAATCCTAGTTAATCACAGCCCCGAAGGATTGGATTGAAATGCATATGACGCCCTGTCTTATTATTTGAATAAATATTGACCTGAATGTGCAGATACCTATGCACATCATTAGAAGATAGCAGAGCCGCATGGATCATGATTTAGGAAGGAAGAGTGTATTATCAGATAAAAAACAACCAATAAAATGCTTCCCTGCATAGGTATAAGTCATGTATTACTGATCTGTTTTAAAATGAGGGGTTTTCTTTTTCGCCGGTCTAAATGTCGGTGATATCATTGGTTAGGATCCTGTAGCATCTCCGAATGATACAAGCCCAGCTGGGAGTCTTCCGATTCTATGTCTATATTGAGTGAATTAATTCATGCGTTCTTTATTCGTGCTGTCTTATTTAGGTGGGTTACAAATGTGTGATTAATTTACATTATCTGTTTTGATTATTCCATATGTTGAATATCACTTTGAGCCTCACAAGTACTACGGTGTATTTGCCTTGCTTTTTCGGTCGATAGTTTGTGTAAGATACCTTGAAAATGTATTAAATTGCTTTTCAAGAGGCTGTGAAATGCACTTCATACTACAACCTAGGCGAAACGGCCTGCTTCTGAGATGCCCAATTTAGCATTGTATTTGAAAGTGCAGATTCATGATTAGGATCGGGTTTCCTGAACTGGGCTATCTTTCAACCCATCTTTTAAATATAAGGAAGACGTTTATTAAATATATACAATATAGATAGTTTAGCAATATCGACTCTAATTCTACGTAAAATATTACTTTTATTCATTTAATATACGTGCTTCACCTTCTATTTATGCGATAATACAATCATGATTTGCGAAAAGGAATATAAAGTAGTTGTCACGGCCTGTGCTGTAAGTAAAGAGCAATCTTATAAGGTATCTTGTACAACTATATGTACTCATTGTTAGCTACTAGCCGTTCAAAGAAAACGAAACAAATCCAACGCAAGACCTCAAGCTCAAACTACCATCTCGAATTGAGCGTGAGGGGCGTATTCCCATTAAAATTATCAAGTACCCTATTGACTTCAGAAATGTGATCACAGATATGGACTTCATTCCAGAGCTTTGGAGCGGTAAAAAGAAGGTCTATGAACCAGGCTCTAGACAGGGCCAAAGGATATACATTGATGCAATGCTTCATCTAGGAATGAATTTTGCCGACTTTTGGCAGATTGAAAAAAGAGCACGACGTGACGGCTATGATTGGGTTGGTGACGACGGAGTACCGTTACCCAAGTATAATGGTGGAAAGGGGGGAAGATGGGAAGGTATACCCAAAGTTCTAACACCCGTCTTCGATGTCGACCGTATTGCAAGACGATTGCACAAAGATCTTCCAGTGAGTGGCTTCCGTATTAACGAAAAGAAATTACTAAGGCTAGGGCGCTAGAATATACCAACAGAGACTTCTACAGATGCTGGCCTGCTGTATTGTGAATTTATATACTTCACTTCGCTCGCTACACTGTACGAAGCGGGTGAGACCCCTCGGGCATTGTTCTTGCACCATGCAGGGTTGAAAACTACAGAGGATGATATTGAAGATGGGGTTCAAGTTGCGATTTCAGTCATCTGTTCAATGATAGATCAACTAGAGGCTTCACAGGGAGTTGTCCTGCATTACAACAAACACACCATGAGCGAAGTACCGGAGCCTCTAAGCCTCTCCAGGGTCCTTGGCACATTCATATTGTAAAAGTTCGGGGTTTTGCCAAAGACAGAAGTAAACGAGTTGGGAATACTATGAAATTAGATGTTGAATTGAATCAGCTACCTGAGGCATACTATAAGTTCTCATCGATTTATGGAGTTACACAAATGCATATTATTACACAAGTACTTGTGACTGTTAGGGTATAAGTGCGTAAAGGGGCCTACAGGGGTCTATCTACTGTATAAGGGCGCGTAGCGCCCTCGAAAGGGAGTAGAATCTAGGCATTACTAGATCAATATACTATACCTTCTGGTCTACCTAGCCTAGACACTCACTCTATGTCAGCTGCTCTATGTATGACATGAATCACCTGGGTATAAACCCCCTGACAGTGACAAACCTATACTTATGTGCGTTCAAGTATAGTTCAGCGTAAGTTTTAATATTTGGTTAACAGTAATAGTACGAGTTAAGGTGGTAAATAAGTAATTCTTAAGTATTCGTTAGAAAGGTTTGGAGACCTTTCTCGTAGTATATGTTAGATACTAGGTTTAAATTGATAGTTATAGAATAACTACCTAGATAGGTATATAAGGAGATCCTCATGTCCTATATTCATTCCTTTCCGTTAGGTTCCCATTGTTGCTCTATCTTACTCTGTGAATCTAATAAAGCAACACAAGAGCCCCCTTTTACGTACTCATCCGAGGTTATTCCGTGATAGGTTGAATCGATGATCCACCTCTAGTTCCCTACCTTCTCCAAGGCCCTAGGGCCTTGGGTTGTAACAGTGTTTAGACAGGCGGCAACATCATCATAGGTATTCTGAAGGTTTAAATGTGCTATTCTTTATTGCACCACATATTCCCATGGAAATACGCCCCAGAACTACAATACCTGAGTCTAAATTAAGTAACCCGGCTTATTATTGAGCTTTACTTTTTTCTTACATCTTCATTCCGCTATATGCTGCTGGGGTCATTTCCCCATCGATCATACCACAAAGATACACTAGAGATCAGCAGCTGGAGTTGTGTAACTTCTTCTCAATTCAACATTGGACAACAAGTGTAAATATGAATCACAACACCCAGCATAAGGCTGTTCTTGGATGGGGCTAACTGCAACTATTAGGTAGCATTAGGCCGCAACTCATACGCCCGTCACTAAGCTTACAATATTTTGTAGTTGGTTGGCTACCGTATATCGACACATACTTACGTAGGTTGTCTTACCTGGAGGCTGGAAAGCAGAGCCTCAACCTTATCTTCTGATAGTCACGTCCGCCTACAGCCACTCGGACAATATCGGTACCATCGTACGTGCACTTTACCTTTGACGCATAGAAACGAAATGAAACCGGCATCCTTCATCATGGAGATGGATCATGAGGGATGGTAAGCACGCATATAGTTATATGATTTTAGCAGAACTGAGTGTGAGAAATCTCTATAGCTCGAGCAGAGTCCATCATATGAGGTTTTGATGGGGCACAAATGGGGCACAAATAGCGCCCTGTTCCCGCCTATTTTCAGACTTGGTACAGAATTATACAGCACATCTCTAGTCCGTTACTGTTTTACTTGCTTAACTCCATCAACCTGACTCTGAAAATGTCCGGGAGCCCGCTTCAGATCAAGGACCCCGAAGTCCTTAACCTGCTCCGCCTCGACCGCGACTTTGACATGCGGACTGTAATGGATCGTTCTGGATATCCTCCAATTCAATACAAGCCTCAAACCTGGCGTGCACAATCACACCTCGCCTTCCCACCCTGCCCCAATGACAACCATCAGCAGCCTGAGATGGCGAGAACTCTCGTCCGTGGTGGCAAGATCTATCTTGCTGGCACTGGCGCAGGCGCAGGCACACGAGGTTGATAACCCTATTCAGGTGTGTCTATACTGCCATATAGTCTCTCTGATACATATGCTGACGTCACAGATTGAACACTGGAGCTGAAAGATGAAGTTGTTTTGGTTATATTGAATTCTTTAGTTTCTGTGATGGACATAGCGGAATGCGTTCAGCAGATTGTATTGTTTCGCCTACAATGTCGCCGAGTTAAGCCTAACTCCATGGGGATATGACTTTGTTTTAATCACTAGGGATGAAGACTACCTATGTTGGGACTTATAGGAATTATCTATCCGATTTGTCACTCGTTCTGCTATGCATAGCTGATATAGCGATCTAATTCTATCTACATTTACTCCTATCTATAAATTGATACTACTAACTGCGCGATTCCCAGTAGGACTTGAAGAATACCTAAGATAACCGTAGCCACACCTATTCCTATAGCAGCCTTCAGGGTAAGAAGCCTTTCGGGATTTCTTCGATCGTTCCATACTTCAAAGAAGTCGTTCGGTTCTTGACCAGAAATATAGTCCGCCAGCTCGGTGAGTCGCGGCCCTAAATGAGGAAAGCTGTCTTGTACATTGTAGACGTTACGCTCATGAAGGAGTTCAAAAATTCCAGTAGAATTATCTAAATCTTTATTTCCGCAGAGTACGCCAAGTAAGGGGTCCAAGGACCCATTCCACTTCGCACTTTCGAGTTCCCGTTCACGAAATAGCTTGCGAGCATGGGAATGTTGTCCGAATAGTAAACGATAACTTAGTAAGACTTCGGCCAAATATGATTTCCCAACAGATTTGATGTTGAATTGGCAGTTCTTTCGACAGATGTGACTCTTGAATAGGCTATATATGACGTGAGATTGTTAGCGCGATTCTATTCAAAATTTATGGTGTCAACGATCTTACCGGTCGATCAAAGTCTCACTATCCTCACTCAGGCATATTTTAGCACAGAGTGAAGGCAGACGAAATAGTTTCAACCCTTTCTCTTTACTATACCGATTGAATTCGCAATGCTTCGAGAGATCATCAACCCAAATAATTGTAACGCCACCTAATCGAGATAGGGAGTAAAGATTCAAATGAGTAACAAGAAGATTCGGTAAGTCTTGCGGTAACCTTGTAATCTTTTGACAAGTTATTGGGATAAGTTCATGGCTACCGAGCATGGCTCCGATGGGCCTCCGTGACGAGTCCTCGATAGGTATAATAGACTTCTTTTCTTGACTTCGCCCTGACTGAATTTCCGCAATCTCGAAGTCAGCATCAGCCGTTGTGAATACTGGTGTGTATAGTAAAGTAGACCAGCCGATAACAGCAAATACAAAATGTCGCATCGTATTTTTATAGGTTTTAACATCCAGCTCAGGAGTTTTGAAATCATCGAACAGTTGTTCTACAATATCGTCAATCGTCGTCTGGGCGGTTGAAGATTTGATTAAGCTGAGGATCATATCGGATATTTCAAACTGTCGTTCTATAATGTAAGGTTGATCGGCCCGAGCTGTCCAGATGACGTTAAACAGTTCGGATGTAGCCATTTCGTAATCCCTCATCCGGGCTTCCGTTATATCTAGAAACATTTTTACATCATTATAAAGCCTGCCTTTCCCGAGACATTTTCCAATAAACGATACTCTTATTTTATTAGAGGTCATGCAGTCGAATCCATTAGGAATATTTTCTGTACGCTGTTTAATTCTAGGAAGGGTGTTGTATCCCATACTGGCTATTATTCGTGGATAACTAAGTTGCTGATGCCGGGTGAAACCATGCAATACACAGAGTTCAGATGATTTCGGATATGGGCTTCAAATTAAGAACTAGTCTAAAATGATTATTATTCTGTAGCATGCAACCTTTATAGTGTGTGGTTACACAAAAAGCAGGCTGTTGGACTGGCTGAAGCTGACCGGTAAAATTCATAAATGCACCTAATCATGCGCATGCCGATTGATACATATGGAGAAGCAGGCTTTGGAGTAGGTTGCATAAAGTATAACCGATAGTCTTAAGAAAAGATTGATGAGGCTCTTTATCTCCCTCCCCAAGAGATCATTCCTTATTTTTGCCAATCCAAACGAATTCTCTACAAACTACCCCCTTTTCAAGGACATTCCTACAATGACACCATGCAACTCCCTACTATCCTCTCTAGTACTACCAATAGTATGGCCGAGTAGTGAGTCCACCATTGATACCTTAGGATATAGATCAAGGAGCTACAGATGCTAATACATTATATGCGCATTAGTGATGAAATTTATATAGAGTCTTGGAATGAGGCAATAAAGGAGTGCGAAAAGAACCTAGAGCGACGTGACTACGAGCGTGCCTTGGAGGTCAATTCTCTCGAAGACTTCCGAGATGAGTTACGAAGGCTGCGAAACGAGCACCCCAATGGACCTTCAAAGATTGCAATTACTCTACTACTTCCTACATTAGATCATTACGAAACATTTGCCCGAATTTTCGTAGACATGATGGACCATCCTGTTGACACATCCATGATGTGGGGACTGTTGTCCTTAGTCTTCAAGGCAAGAAAAATACATAAGTAACTAAGATTATCTGGGAGTGTGATACTGATGTCTACCGAGTAGCTTGCTCTAGAAAGCACAGGAGAAACAAATCCACTCAATAATATTACGAGATGGTTAGAAAATATTGGTCGCAAACTGCAGGATTCTAACGACTGTTACCAGAGAATCACAGATTCTGAAAAGGTTAGGAATGATATAATAGAGCTAAATAGGGAGATTGTAATCCTTTGGATTAATATCATCATGACATTTCGAAATAAGGGTCAGGGGCACGAAAGTACGTCATATTTCGCGAGCGTTTCCTTCAACAAGGTAAGCTAACCGGCTGACCCGACAGGTTTTCTCAACAAAAGCGCAATTGATGATCTGACAGACATTTATAATGCGGCCTACCAAAACATCACCGAAGCTGTAAGGCGTATTAAAAAAGTAGCAAAACTAGCAGAGAGACAAGCGTCCCAAATGCTCCTACAGAGCATACTTTCGTTGAAGACTCAACCACAAGAAAGTGGGTCAATACCGTGCAATACTCTCCCTATAGCGGAAAACCGACTATTTTATGGTCGTCATGATATCCTATGCCAGGTAGAAGATTATCTTAGGCCAGCAGACACAAGTACTCGCCTTTCTTCCGTGGCACTATATGGTCTTGGTGGCATCGGCAAAACACAAATTGCACTTGCCTATGCCTATCAAAGACTGGATGATCTCGACGCAGTATTCTGGATATCTGCCGAAAACACATATACCATCCAACAAGACTTTAGTCGCATTGCCATCGACGCTCTTAAACTTCCGAGGGCCGTACCCCAAGCAAACCAGCAAAATATGATACTGGTACTAGACTGGTTACAGAACACATGTAAGAGATAAAACTTATCGCCTGTTAACCTATTTTAACTATGCGATAGCTGCTAAATGGCTTCTCATATTCGATAATGTCGACGACCATAGCGTCCTCGAGAATTGCTGGCCTGCTTCCAAACATGGTGCCGTTCTAGTGACTACCAGAGATGTTCTTGTTGCTTCTCTTCCTATTGACACTGGGCTTGAAGTGAACGAATTTAGTTATGAAGAAGGTTCTGAGTTTTTACTTCACATGGCACTCGGCAGGCAACGTGTTGATGGGGAGCTAGAAGCAGCACGACTTGTCGCGGAGGTATTAGGTGGCTTGCCACTTGCTCTCAACCAAATGGCTGCTTTTATAAACGCAAGGAGCTTGTCAATCTCTGAATTCTATCTCGCGTACATCAAGTATGACTATCGCTTACATACACAGAAGAAGAACGGCTATAAGTATTTGCGCTACCCACACGCCTTAGATACGGTATGGGAAATTTCCTTCGCAACTCTAGGAAATCAAGCTCGCGCTTGTCTTGGCATTTTGAGTTTCCTCGCTGCCGACGATGTTCCCGCAGATATTTTCAAGGCTGCACAACCCGATAGATTGCCGGAAATATTGTCCTTTTGCACAGATGATTTATGGTATGGAGTGCTTGTTTTAAACGGCTTTATACGTGTTAATAAAATACAGCCTAGGCGACGCCATTGAAGAGCTAACTCGCCACTCTCTAGTTAGAAGGAATATCCAGCAAAGAAGCTTCCGAGTCCATCGATTAGTACAAGCAGGATACCGGGCTAAATTAGAAAACCCCCAAAAAGAGTTTGAGGTAGCCGTAAAGTTATTGCTTGAAAAGATTCCGTCTCAACGATCAAGTAGATTTGACAATGACGAATGGATCTTGTATGAGAAGTACATTCCCCAAGTTCTGTCACTTGTAAAAAACTACAATGACTCTCAAACTAAACCAAAACCTCTAAAACCAAACGAGGATTTTGTAAGACTTCTTACTAACTCGTCTTAGTAAGTTAACCGCATCTTGATAATAAGTAATAAAATAGACTAACTGTCTAATAGTGCGATACACGACAACGATACGGTTAACGTCATTCCGGAGTTACTTAATACTGCTGATTCGGCATTTCACAAATGTTCAGAGGTAAACCAGGACAGGCTACTTTGGGCACTGTTACAATATTTGAAATGCCTACGTCATTTCTGTACTTCCGAATTCATAAAATCGGAATTTGAAATGGCTGAAAGTCTTCGTATTCGCTTGGAGTTGCTTCCCCCAAATGACCTGCTCGTATCTCTTGCGTATAGTGGCCTTGGAATGGCCACCGGTGCTCAAGGACGTTATGAAGAAGGTTTAGAGTGGCTATTAAAAGCCGGAAAGATTTACGAAGGCCCAGACGAGGAGAACCCCTCGAGAAAGCTAGTATGGTGCTATAATATTTCGCGTAACTACTATTGCATGGGCAGATACGAGGAAGCCGAAAATATTCTAAGTCATGCGTTGAAAGTTGCAAATCGACTACAGAGTTGGTATATACAAGTTTAGTATGTTATCTCGCCTAAAACGAAGCAACTTCCTTACTTACACAATTCTGTCTAGTGCCCATCTTGCTTTTACTTCGCTTCAAATCAGAATGGATAACCTTGACGAAGCAAACAAACATGCCGAGACAGCTAAGCACTTGCTAGAAACATCTGGGACTGCTGCCCGCTTCAGCTGGCTCAGTTCTTATTGTGCATATCGTGTAGGCCAGGTGGCAATGAAACAAGGTCGTCTCGATGAAGCCATGTAAGAAAATCGAAAAGAAATTATTTAGGGGATACCATATATTAACGAAGTTTAAAGAGAGGAAACAGCAAAGGCGACAGCTATCGGGAAACTTGTGAATGTACCAACGGGTATCCTCGCTCGGTGCGTGCACATCCACTCAAAAGCATTAGGAATGGACCCTGCAAGACAAGAGGAATCGGAAATACAACGAATAGAAGCTAGGCGACTGCGAGCATCATTGCCAGATGGTGGAGGTGACCTAGATGATGAAACTGATGAGGCCTTTGAGAAACTCGTTAAGATGGATCATCGATAGCGGGCCCCTGATGATAGAAACAAGACCATAAGACTCATTACTTGTTATAAGAAAAGGTATTTCAAGTTGCGGTATATTATCACACTCATTTACCTCCTTTTCTAAATATGACGATATTGGACCGTTATAAAGGGGAAACATTTTCTTATGTTAACCGCAAATTACATCACGTTTTGTATCCTAACTATCCTTAAATAAATTATTTAGACTTACATGTCTTATTTGAACTACCTAGTAACTGGGTACCTAGGTACTTTTAAGGCTGACATGACCCGCCCCCTTTTCTATCTCCCTATCCCTTTGGAAGCTATTATTCACTACATTATCAGCATCTCATAGTAGGATCAATCCACCTTAGGCTTTATCAAGAATACTATACGTAGTCTGACTTATTGTAGGAGGACTAAGTTATCACTATTGACTTACCTCCATTAACCCAGAAACCGCGTCGTGGTGACTGAATGAAGAGCAGTTAGTCGTGATTTTATCTCATCGCTTTCTCGCTCTAGATCTAGAGTTGATAAATTCTGTTTCGCAGGATTTTTCGACCTAAATAGCCTTCCTATGAGGTAGATATACATAATCATATCGTAATAATGAATAGGTATCTAAAATATACAGATAGCCAGGTGAAAACACTACATAATATGGGAACCCTCATGTGCAGATAAACCAAAAGGGCAAAAATTGCTATTATGATGTACATGTTAACATCTCTCAAGCTCATATGCTAGCTTGATACAAAATACCATTGTAAAGAATGCCCAGGTACCTAAGGTAGGTACAAATAAAAATACCCACTTGACAAACAGCGTGCCTGAATGGCCTCACCACTGTAGTGACGGTTGCCATGAACACTCCGTCGCCACATGCCCCAGACAACAGGCAACTGGCAACGGGCGACAGGCAACAGCCGTAATTTCCACCCCTCCTTGTGCAGCGCCTTTTATATCTAAATTTCCAACCGAACAATCACTTGAGGAGTTGGTCCAACGGTCAGGGGCCAACAGTCAGTTTGAATGGACCACCATACATACTTGAACGAATTCGGGGTTCGAATCCCTGTGGGCGAAGTTTCTGACGGTTTTCAGTTGTTTTCACACCTTCTCTGCGAGATGATTTGGAGTATAAGGTACGGCTCCGTTATCGCTTCCGTTGAACTCAATCTGAAAATCCGAAGAACCTCCTCCCAAGAGGCGGGTTGGATGACCAAAATTTTTTTGACTTTTCTTTTTTCGCAGTTCATATGACATGTTTCTGAATGCCAGATACTTAGCAGCATGCACTTTTTCCTCCTTTAACATATTTTACTAACAAACATTTACGTAAATTTAATACTTACGAGCATGCCAAAATATCCACCGTCCAGCTACCATAGTGGGCATATCCAATATGTTATTCTTGACCAGCAGTCTGATGCAATACTTCTTAAATGGTATATAATCACCTATATCCGTATCAATCCCTGAACGATATCAAACATATATATTCATATGGCCCATAGTTGTGTAACTAGGATAATTAGTGCATGGTATATAAAGAATCGCACCAAAAAAAATTACTTAGTCTATGAAAAGTCGATAAGTCGCCTGTGATGGTGCTATTCCCTATGTCTTCAACGTTTCTCTAATATATATATATGGAAGGATCACTATAGACCTACTTCAAGTCAAGTTCTTTATGATGGAAGACCTTATAGTTTTTCTTTCTTCCTATTGGACCACCCTAACTATTGTACGTCTGAGTGTTAGGTAAGCGTAAGGACGCGAGGAAGACATGAGAAAACAACTCAGTTGTTGGGAGGCACTTAACTATAAGCCTATCTGGGTTCAAGTTACGGATAAAGTTAAAAGCTTTCGTACCGAATATTCTGAAAAGTAGTCCAAGGATCGAATACTAATATCATCATATCACGATAACTCCAATAATTAGTAACATGTGCAAACAACATGTCTCTATATCAAACCCAGGTATCCCCCTAAGGCCATGAATAATGCCAAAGCAGTCATAAAAGATCAAAGCAATGAAAGAGCAAAATTTTGTAGATTTTTTTTTCCAAAATAATACGTTGGAAAATTAATTTTATAATGCTGGATAACTGAGTTCGATATCTATGTGGCTAGGACCAAGAACAAAATGTGGGCTGCGTCGTCTATTTGCAATTGTCAACGCTTTTACATTAATTATATCGTAAAGAAAGAATTAATGCCCTACTCAACATTAGTAATAAAAAGGCTTAAAACAATTATAATTCCAATTATAACTTATTCCTTAAGTGTACAATGTAATAATACCTACTCGCTGTTATGAGTATTATAATACATACAAGTTTCTACGGTCGGTGACCCCCCGCCAAGTCCACCTCCGCTAACATTCGGTGTAATAGGGGTAGTTGATGCACCGAACCGAGTTCTCTAATTTTGCTTTACGAGGAAGGTGATTATAGATAGTTGGGTTACTACGAGGTACGCACTTAAGATAGCCTTCTCGTATGAAAAGCCTATAATAAGTTACGATTCAACTTTGACCCTTATTTATTCTGAGGTATATCTGTGTATTTTTGACTTTTAAGTAGTTATGTACAGTGCGTTTTTACACTGTCCTGATAAATAATGATCATATTTAAGGCACTTAGGTTAGGAGGTACCTTAGGTACTTTATAAAGTCAAACTGAAGCGGAAGAGCAAGCTCCTTTTATCAACAACGAATGTTCTTAGAATCTCTGAACATATAATACCAAAAATTGCCACCTACTCAAATCAGTGCGGTGTAACCTTTCCGGTTTGCAATTGCACCCAACCAATAGTGACACGGTGCCCCCCCTATGGATCCTACTTATCCTACTTAAAGCTAAAGTGCCGATGTAACCCCTGAAAAAGAAATCTAGCCAAATGCGATTCAGCCGAATTCTCCTAATTGCCAAGATTGCGAACCAAGACTTTCAAATCCAAGTTCTAGACGGTCGGTTTACACAATCGTAGACGGGGTCTGCCTATGCGAGGCGAGGCAAGGTCGTTATGAATATCTAGCTGGAACTGATGAATTTGCATTCGAGTTCCGATGGATGCATCTTCACCCCAGACTGATTCAAGGTAAGAAAAGACGAAAATAATAAAAATAAAAAATAAACCAGAAATTTAGCCTTGCGCTCGCTAACACGTGCATGAATTTGTTTGGAGATTAAGGTCTAAGACTTGGTACCAATGGCTCTTGCATCCGCGTCGTCATATAGAATCGACGCGTGAATTAGACCCTGCGAGCGAAGCTCCGGCGGCGGGTAATTCTCGATTCGCTATGATGCCGTTTCTCAAGAGCCTCCCGCGGCGGCGACGATTCCTCATCGTCATACCCTTGGTCGCGTTACTAGTCTGGGCCTTACTCCCTACTACCAGGTTGAATTCTCCGAATACATTCTTGCGCACTTTCAGGGGCTCATTGGGGAAATCTAGCGATGACATTTTACGATACGTAGACCCCCTCATCGGCACCGTCAACGGAGGTAGGTACCTACCTGTGTACATACATCACTTGGAATATGTCGTTGAAGAGCTTGCAACTAAGTTCACTCTTTTAGGTCATGTCTTCCCTGGCGCAACCCTGCCGTATGGCATGGCAAAGGCCGTAGCGGACTCGAGTGATCGCGGAGAAATCGCCGCAGGATTTGTCTCGGACGACTCCGACATCCAAGGCTTCTCTCACTTGCACGATTCAGGTACTGGAGGGGTGAGTTGATGAATACTATTTCTCGAATGAATCTAACTTGCAATAGAGCCCTTCATTGGGAAATTTCCCTCTATTCGTGCATCCAGGATGTCCCGAGGATGACTTCGCTCAGTGTAAATATACATATATTGGTAGAGGCGTCCCGAGGATCGATGGGTCCGCTACGGCACGCCCGGGGTACTTCGCTATTGGCCTCAATAACTCGGTCCACGCGGAGATGACGGCGACCCAACACGCCACGCTCTACAGATTTAGCCTCCCCAAAACTCCAGAGGTAGTGTCACATAAGGTCATGGTACCTACCAATCCTCTAGTTCTGCTGGATTTAATGGATCTTGGTAACTCCCGAACCGGAGGTGACATCCAAGTAAATCCAGAAACGGGAAGAATAACAGGAAATGGGTCGTTTAGCCCGTCGTTTGGCAGCGGAGCGTACACCGCACATGTCTGTGCGGATTTCCGAGGCGCCGATATCCGCAAGACGGGCATTTTCCTACAAACTAACGTGACCGATGAAGTTCAAGCTATGGGTCATTTGGGAAGTAATTTTTACATCCCTTCCGGCTCGGCAGGTGCTTGGATACATTTCGCGCACTCGGACCAGATCATGGCCCGGGTGGGACTGTCATTTATATCCGTGGAACAAGCCTGCCACAACGCAGAGGTCGAAATTCCAGACTTCGGCTTTGAGGACGTGGTGAAGGCTGCTGAGAATGCCTGGAAGGAAAAGTTATCCGTGATCAAACCTGATTCCTCGGGTATGAGCCACGAATTTCTTACTACATTTTGGTCGGGGCTCTACCGCGCACTGATCTCGCCTCAAGATTACACGGGCGAAAACCAGCTCTGGAAATCTGACGAGCCGTATTATGACTCTTTTTATTGCATATGGGATTCATTTCGCGCACAACACCCACTCCTTACCATAATTGACCCCACGATCCAAACGAAAATGGTGAGATCGCTGATTGACACGTATAAGCACGAAGGAAAGCTGCCAGATTGTCGCATGAGTTTTAGCAAAGGTTATACACAGGGAGGCTCAAACGCCGACGTGGTTCTCGCAGATGCCTTTATTAAAAACCTCACACAAGGTATCGACTGGAATCTTGGCTACGAGGCCGTCGTCTCCGATGCGGAGGTGGAGCCGAAAGACTGGTCTACAACTGGTCGCGGCAGTCTCGTGAGCTGGCACACGCTGGGCTACGTACCATACGATGACCACGACAAAAATGGGACGGGGCCCATGAGTCGAGGCATTTCACGAACGGTTGAATACGCGTATGACGACTTCGTGATCGCGTTAATGGCACGGGGGCTCGGCCATAAGAACGACGAGACCAAATATCTGCAGCGCAGTCGGAACTGGAAGAATCTATTCAACCCGGAGCAGGAGGACCGGCATCGTGACGAAGCCGGGAATGTGCAAATGTCGCCATTTAAGGGTTTTTTACAACCACGGTTCCGGAATGGTACCTGGCGATATCAAGTTAGTATCCAAGATTTCTTCTCCTGATATTCATCTTTAAGTGAAATTCCGAATCACTACTTCCGACCGTTTTATATCTACTTAAAATAGGACATTGCTGACTCCAACCCGCGTATTAGAACACGCGACTTTGCAGTCCCATATATCAACAGCATAGTTGTTATTTTGACACGCAGTACGAAACATACGAAGGGAGCCCGTGGCTGTACACATTTTACGTACCACAAGACATGGCCGCGCTTATAGAGGCGTTAGGAGGGCATGAGACTTTCATCGATCGACTCGATTATTTCCACTCGTCGGGTATCAATTACATGGGAAACGAGCCCAACTTTCTAACGACGTTTCAATTCCATTACGGCGGACGGCCCGGTCGCAGCAATTACTGGCTGCACCAGTACATCCCAGGGCAGTTCAACAATAGCATCAACGGGATCCCCGGGAACGACGACTGTGCCATGGGAGCCTTTACGGCGTTCGCGTTCATGGGATTCTATCCAGTAGCTGGCCAGAACGTGTATCTGCTTACAGCACCCATGTTCCGGCAGGTCAGTATCCAAACACCATCGGGGAAACCGGCGATACTGCGAAACGTCGGCGGATTCGACGCTCCGCAATATCGCAATATCTACATTCAAAGTGCTAGGTTAGACGGGAAGCCATATACCCGAAATTGGATCACGCATGATTTCTTCGTGAATGGAGGCACGCTGGAGTTCGTATTGGGATCCACAGAGAGCGATTGGGGAACGAAAGAAGAGGATCTGCCGCCTAGTTTATCGACGGGGATGTTGGACTGATTTAATAGATAAAAGTCGATTGATGATTACTATCGAGATTGAGGAATTTGGATGGAAAAGATTTTAATCAGAAGGGATACAATTCCAGGTTGTAAGACATATAAGTACCTGAAGGGTATGGTTGCCCGCAGTACTTGAACTGCCAGGGAAAAATGCAAGTTTCTGTCACTTGCGCGAGGGTATTTGATATATACTAGTCGCCGAGACAGCAATGCGAAAATGATTGAAATCCTATACAGATAGGAGACGAAAAAAAAAAGGAACTCTCAGTCGGGGAATTGAACCCCGGTCACAGGCGTGACAAGCCCGTATCCTAACCACTAGACGAACTGAGACCTGACCGTGAATGGCATCGGATTCACGTGGTTGATGTTTCTCAGGTATGACGCGACTTAAGTAGGTAGACTGTGTTTCGAGGTAGGGCACTTGCTGGTTGTTAGGGAACCGAAGTCTTGGGATACTTTGCGTGGAGGGCAGGTTTTAAATATGTACGCTTAGGAAATTGCAACTACCCGACCAAGTAACTTTAGCCCAGCAGTTTCTACAGGTAGCTCCTTATCACAAGTAGATACCTACCTCTATCCTACTGGTACCCGAAATGCGACGGGAGCCCACAGCATCCTTTAGCTACATGGCAAACGATACCCACACCTAGTCAAGTTGGTGGTGATTCTAACACCCACGTATCGTAGAGAAAATACGATGTAAGACGCGAAAAAATATAAGATAAATACTATTAATACCTCATCACTTACATCTAGGACAGCGCCCCCCCATATTTAAAGCAATTCAAAAACTATTCTTCTTCATCATCTCCCTCGTCATCTTCCTGCTCTTCCGTCCCGCCGTCGGCCTCATCGGAATCGCTCTCGGCGTTGGGATCCGGCCTAACGACGCTATTGAGAAACGTAACCTACATTGGTATCTCAGTTAGTCCCGTATAATCCCGTATAAACTTGGAAGTCAAAGGAAATAAGGATACGACTCACAAATTCGACCATGGCGGAAATGACACTCATAACGTTCTCCTGCGCGTCGTCGGCGAGAAGGTCCGACTCGTCGATCTGCGTGCTGATAGTGTAGTTCCGCAGCTTGAGAAGCTCTATGTACTTATGGTCCGGGTGGAAGCCCTGCTTTGGTGAGCATACTACCTATACTCGGAACGTCATTAGAAGTAGGGGAGTGGTACCATACCTTTGGTTTCGTCTTGAGCGCATTATCCTGATTCTTCGCCGCGAACGCTGCTATCACAGATTTTTCGTTGCCGGACTTTGCCTCGGGTAGAAATGTCTTTCGGAACGTAGGGTTCGTTAAGACTCGACTTATACGATGGGGGCGCTCGTCGACGCTCGCGCGCAATCGGGCTAACGCGTCGGCCTCTGGATGCCATACGCCTCCGCCTACTAGACACCGGCCGGGTTCGACATGCACGTAATAGCAAGCGTATGGGCCCTTTCGACCAGTCCGTGACCATGCCGCAGAGTAGTGGGGCTGTTTATACGGAATGTCCCTTGTTAGAATAGAGACCTATTCCGGGGGGAAGAGTTAGAAAAATGCAATGGGCAAACACACCTTATACGGAGTTTGATCTTTACTAAATCGGACGTCTCGGTATATCCGGAAGATGACATCTTTCACCGGCAACCACGGAATAGTCTCGTCTGCCTCGATGATCTTTTCCGTGAGAGTCTCAACGAATGATTCCCAATCTTTGAAGGACCTTCTATATTCCCCATCGTGCGCTACAAGCAGTTATACCCCGTTAGATAAGGAAAGAGTAGATGTGGGCAACAGGGATTGCAAGACGAGTCCGTGATTGTAAAGAATATACATACATTTAAGCCAACTCCGTTGGTTGTTGGCTTTGAGATCTTCTAGGAATAAGAAAGTGTTTTTATGGAGTCGGGTATCCTCATATTCGACACCATCAGTGTCTCTTAACTGGATTGCTGTAGTATTTTAATTAGAATCGAAGCTATCTATTAACATTCCGATGTGTTGAAGTAAAGCACCGAAATAGAAGATAAACTCGTACCTGGAATGAAAGTAATGCGGTTTTCGTCATCGTCATCGTCATCATCATCGTCATCGCTATCTTTATCCACTACTGGCTCTTCGTAGTCGGCCTCTTTTTCCCTCTTGGTTTTACTCTGAGCTTTTGCCGTGGCCTTTGTCCTTTCTAGATCCTGGCTCTTTTTACTAGACTTCTTTGTAGTCTCGGTCTGGGTTTTCGGGGGTCTTCCACGACCTCGCCTCTGTGCCACAGGCTGTTCCGCTTCACTTTCAGAGTTGTCCTCAGCAAACGCGGCATCTTGGTCATCATCCTCAGATATATTTTTGACATCTTCATACTGTAATTCGTCATCCGATTCTTCTACTGTAGCCTTTCCACGTCTAGAGAGTTTCCCCTTAGCGCCAGTCTTCACAATTTTACGAGGTGGTAGCTCTTCATCTGAGTTGTCATTATCCTCAAAGTATGTACTCTTCTTGCTACTGAGGCTAATGCGATGAGATCTGCGACGGGATTTGCTAGTGGCCTCTAAAGTAGAAGGCTTAGCTACGGTACCTTTCTTCGGCGGCATGGCTCAATTATATGAATTTGCTTTTGTATTCGGAATGTTCGTTGATTTCTTTAGGTCAAGATATAGATATAGACATAGATACAATGAAATTTAACGGATGAGACGGTTGGTGACGCGCCGAGAAGAATCGCGGGGTGGCAATAGGGAACACGCTATCACGTGATGACTTTATTATTCAATCTCACAACGCAATAACCCGACTGTCCGGTACCTACCTACTAGAGGTACACTTACCTACCTATCACATGCACTTTCCAGTATACAAGGTACATATTGGAAGTTACTCCCTTATGGCCTAAAAATAGAAATGTCAATCGCCGCTAATCTTAGATTCAATTATAGCCGCAATCTTCAACTACGAATGTATTTTCCGTACCTAAATAGTTCATATCGATCTAATTGGGAAATGTTAATAGGGTAGGTGCTCATTGTTTAGCTGCGATCACTATATTTCTTTACTATTTTTAGGGCGAACCTGTGCCGCTTGCACCCGGTCCACGTTCCCACGCATATATTAACTTCCCGGGGTGTTATTAATAGTCGGAACATATTGCTCCTTCTAAACATCACCTCCGTGATAAGCCCTTGTTTGACATCTTCATAATGCCTCGACCCGACAGCGGCGCATACGTTTATCATCCTTTTCCGGTCCGCGACGTCCGGTACGGTTGTTCATTGTGGCTGGTACTCAACAATGATTAGCAAATAATCGTCCCCGAACTTCCAAGGACTTCGGTTGGATGATCAGGATTAAAGCGACCATTTAGTCCCGAATGTATACTCGGCTAGAATGACCTGCATTGGTCATTGAACACCACCAATTATCGATAGGCGGCTTCGTGAGTAGGTAACTCCCGTTGTAGTCTGGTCAGCCAAGCCCCGAATTAGGTCCCATCCGACCTAGTGGTGTTCTATCCCGCGGCTTCTCTATCAAGTCTGCATATCCTTCCAACCCAGCACCAATCACTTTTACGATATCAAAGATATGCGATCCTTTAAACGTCTCAGCCCAAAGCCGAATTACGGCTACTGCAAGCTGACGCAGCTTTGTACCGTCGTTCGCAGCCATATCCATGTTTGATGGACCATGCCCCGGGCCGCCTCCTGAGAGCGAAGGGTCAATCGGTACCGCAAACTCTGTTTCATCAAGCATGTGGCGGAGCATTTCGAGAAGGTTTCGTTCGTCGGGCTCGGGAGGCGCACCTGTCGGGCCGGTCGAAGCAAGAGTCATTAGCCATTTCGAAAGGAGAATAGCGCATTCCAAATTGCATACTACGCCGACGTTAGCTACCTTATTCTTTTACCATACTATTAGAATTTTTTTTGTGAATACTTACGCGAGTGCTGCATACTCCATTCCGATGACTTCCTCCTTGCTACGTAGTTGACACCTACCTTAACAAGCATAGACAATGCATGTATGGCTTGAAAGACGGCTCGGTTGAGGCGCACACTGCGAACGAGATACGGTGCGTCATGGAAAGACTGTGCAATCTGACTCGCTTCTCTTGTTTCGAGGGTTCTGCTAGGACTCAAATCTGTATACAACCGGATAGAAGCCAACCGCCAAAGTGCGGTTGAATTATAAGTAACGGAGCCACCGGGGAATGAATCTGGGCCGCTCTGGTGGTTACCCTCTGTTATGCGCGCCTGGTGCTGTTCGAAACTCATCTGCCAGATCCGTAGGGCCTGAAAGCAATCTTCAACATCATCATGACGAAGTCCCCCAAAAATTGACACGGAATTGAAGGATGTTTGCTTCAGGAGAAAGATATGTTGTAATATAGCATGAATGAGGATGTAATTACCGAGAGAGGACATGTAAGCTGGAGGTCCTTGTGGTGGTCTGCTGAATAATCTCGCAAATGCATCCTGGAGCGATATATCCATACTAGGGAATGATTGACGAGCTTCTTGCCACTGCCAAGCTGTTTCTGCTCTCCAGAGTTTTGACGAGTGCGGGAGAATGAGGTTAAGTTCCGACGTCAATAGTAGAGGTGGCATATTATACGCAATACTACACAGATTAAAGAAACTGTACGCAATGAGCTTTGTGCGATTAGATCCTTCTATCCGTACCCATGCCTCCCAATCGGCCGTCTGCGTGGACTCTGAAAGAAATCCTTCCTCACGCACTAAGAGAGCTAGAAGGCTTTGTAATGATAAGGCTTCTCGAAGAATAGCTTTGGCGCCCCAGAGCCCAACAGCAAACATTAGAAGAAGAGCCTGGATGGTTTCCATACGAGATTGAGGTGTATTGGGAGAGCTTTAAAGAAAATTAGTCACACATTGAAAAGGTGTATGTAGTTGGATTTTCTTACTACGGCTCTCGGTGCGTATCTTGCGTCATCGAACGTTCCTGTTGAACAGAACTAAAGGAGTGGCGGAATCCATGGCTTGGAGATGGTCGCGTAGAATGAGGACTGTACGCTGCTGGCGTTGGTAACAAACCGTGCACTTCGTGACTGTGGCGACGTCGAATTTGTTCAAGCGCTACTGCTTTAGCTGCATACCATAAAGCATTTGATCGATGACTCTCGAATCTATATTGTGCGCCTACTGCTAATATCGCCAGTAGGAGTTCCGGGGCAAGATCGGCGGCTGTTATCGTTGGCAGGTGCAGGATCGGCAAGTGTTCATGAAAACCGCTTACATACCCTTCTAGAAACCTAGTGAGAGTATGCCGAGAAGGAAACACGAAATCATTCGGTAGAACGGATGAGAATTCGTCGAGTCGATTTTTTATCACGGTATGGTCCATTGCAGAAACCCTCATGGGCTGCGATCTCGTTGATTCGTCATGTGTTCTAGGGCCACCGTCCGTTGTATCTCTCTGGTCAGGGGCTAATGATGGGAAACGAGAGGGGAATTGAGATGACGGCTTGGAAAGCCCAACCCGTTGAATGTCGGAAAGATGTCGTGGCCACATACCCATACTCTGATCCGCATCGAAGGCTTGTGGGAGGAAGTGAGACGATGTCGCAAATTCGTCTAAGAAGAGATTATAGTCGTCAAAAGCAGACGGCCCAGCTGGATTAGGTAGTCCGTGTGACATAGCTACAGGTTCGGGCTCACGTACACGGTCGGTATATGGTATTCCTTCGTCATATGACTTAATGCGTGTCAAGCCGGCCACTGGTTGTCCAATATCCGTCATCATCGGTTGCATCGAGTTAACCTCGTTCGCAGAAGCAATCTGCGTGGCAGCATCAGACAAAAGGTCAAGATTGCATGCTGTAGCCCTGGCGGAGTGGCGGGGATCAGGGGCAAGCGGAGGTACTGTCACAGAAGAGGACATAGAATCTGAATGATAGTGCGCCGGGTGAGCCCGAGGCATTCCCATCATTTCGGAGTCGACATGGCTCTCAGATGATAGAGGCGGTTGGGCAGCGCCGGCCGTCGACGGCTTCCGGGGCCGGTTACCGTCCTTATTAGACCCTTCATTGAGATGAACGAGTTTCTCGTGGCGAACGAGGAGATCCCTGATGTCCATATAAGCATATTCACAAGAGGATGAGAGAGAAGGTGGAAGTTGGGGGGCCACCAGTAAGGAATTATAGAGGGGAATAGGAGGTTTCAGGGCTGTAAGACATGCGTGGTGTGTATGTGTGTATCCTATTTGCAAGAGACCTGAAGGACCTAAGAAACCTGAGGAGGGGGGATGGGGGTAGTTTAGCGCCTACGAAGACGGTAAGTGGTTGGACAGCGGTGGGCAAGGCAAAGTCCACCACCACAAATAAGAAATTGGTAGCTTAGTTAAGGACAGAATAAATAAAGGAACAAATTAACTAACCGACGTCCAAACGTCTTCCCGCAGCGAGCCCACCCGCACGAGAATGGCTTCTCTTTAGTATGAGTTCTCTCATGACGTTGAACATGCTCTACACGCCTAATTAGGGGATTGCCGTGTAAGTAAATTGCCAGCGGATATAGATATAGTGCAAGATGATAAATATGTCTAGGGACCCTTACCTAAAGCGTTTGTCGCAGAACTTGCACGGTAGGGTTTTGGGCTTCTGCTGCCGACCTTCCACGCTGTCCTCGGCTGTACCAGTAATGCCAGAGCCTTCTATGGATGGCATGGTTTGCATTTGGGGTCAGGATAAGTTAACAATAATTAGTATAAGGTAAGTCCCTGTACAAAATATGGGTGTAATGCAGATGAAGTCACGCAACACCCGGAAGTGGGGGGTAAGTCGGAAGGGTATAAGGTCCAGGGCGAGGAAGTTATGCCGGAAAGAGGAATGAATGTCTTGCGGGGTGGACGGTGGATGGATGAATTCATAGGCGTGATAGATGTATGTAGTATCAATCGATTCTAAGTATACTCGGAACGTAACGCGAGATTCCACCACATTTGTCCTCACTGCCTTCCCCCAAGTGATCGGCCGCTCCCCAAGCTGGCGGCCAACGTGGTGATCAACAGAGCTCGGAGATCCTGAAGGGCTTTGGACAACCGTACAAAATTAGTAGGGCTGAGGTAACCCGTCAACGCCTGAAAATAAACAAGGCTGCGATTCGATACGTTTTTTCACAGACCAGAACTAACGAGTCTGGGCTAATTAACCGACGGGGAGGAAAACTGCTACTGGTAGGCTTTATTGGTCGATGATGGTGGCGCGGAGAAGGTGAGAGGATTAAGTATGTGATGATGTATTTTGAAATTCTACGGCCGAGATTGAATTGGGGATTCTAATGCCCAAGCGGCAGGAAGACACATTTGTAATAAGACTAATGGGCTTAGAGAAGAAACGAATGAGATGGGCGAACAATATAGTAAGCTTGGATGAGATGGATGAGATGGATAAGGTAACAATATTGACGATGGTTGAATTCGGGGTTGTGCTAAATTGTTATGTGCAAGATGAGGAGTGAGGAGGAGGATTGTGAGGAGGAGAATTGTAAGGAGGGGACGGAGAGGAGGATGCGGAGATGGGGGAAATCATTAGGTTGTAACTTAGTTTTTTAGTGAAGGAAACACCTGTAGTAACGGGGTAGCCGCCGGCCACCATGCGAGTGAAACCCGAACCTGCCATAAGAAATAATAGAGAAAAGTGGCGCCGGCTTAAAAATGATAGACTTTACTTACACCGGCTCCAACTTATACATATGTGACATATGTGACTTATGTGATTTGCTTCCTTTATTTTCTTACATTATTTACCTGGTATAATATCTATGTGAAGTCCATATTCTACCCATCCATCTATTCAACGCTGTATTCAAGGATTGGTAAGCTGATGAAGAAGAAATCTGTTACTGCGAGGAGAATTCGTCTTACCGACATATACTTACTCCTCATTCATTATTGATGCAAGACACCTCATGTAGGTACGCATATTACACCTATAAAAAGCGAGATGCAGCTTTTGGTAAGGTACATGTAAGAAGAGTAATGAGCATACACGAGGATTGTGATTTGGTAGATAGAAGCAGCGTCAGATTTTTTTGAGGTGCATTCCCCGCCCCCAGACATAAACAAGCCTTGCTAACAACTCGCGGAGACTGGAGACTGGGGACGGGGTGCCCTGTCAGTTAACCCCATATTCGTCCACAGCACCCCTCGGTACAGTCTCCGCATTGGAGAAACTAGCTTTATGTACATGCCAGCATGCGTGGGAAAGTGTGGGGGGCGGGGGTAGCCAATCAACTGGAGATGACATAGATGAGAGGTAACTTACCTGCTGCGTGTAGGTTACAATATTGCTACATTTTAGGATATTGTTCATCAACTCGTATTATATCTAACCCCGAAGCTAGGCGGGTCAATCGTTACTACTGGGGCTTCGAATTATAGTTAGCTCCAAGCTTAGTTGGTACATATTGGAGGATGCAATTGAAATCTTACGTTAACAATAAATAAGATCGTGGGAAACAACACTAAAGCTATTAGCAGAGTCGTGATTGGTGGGATTAGAGTAAAGTGTTCAAGATGAGAGGAGGGGTTGGAAACGAAATGGAAAAGAGAAGGACAGGGGAAGGAGGTTGTTCCTATCAGGCTCCGTATTATTACAACGGGTGTTCGTTATTCGTAGCCCTGTTAGATGGGTCATATCTTAGTAGTAAATAAATATAAGATGTATGTAGGTAACACGGCTGCACGAGTAACGCCTTTTTAAGCCCAAGGCGCGCCACTTAGAACTTAAATCAAGACAAATGGCCTCTCGAATTCGGATAGCGTTGATCTTCTCCTCAACCGGGACTCCTTATGGTAGTGATCGGCGAGGCCTGACCTTGCTATAGATTGCTTTGCCGGCCGGCTAGGCAAAGAGGGGAATATTGACGATGATGGGAAGTATGTATGGAGACAGCGGGCACTACAGTAGATGGGTGCTATGTGGATCTAATGAAGGGATTCGGGACAGATCTGGTTTGGTGCTCTGATACGGTAGATACCTCACGTAAGAAACACAAATCGGTAAACTCTGAAGCGTCGAAGTCCTATTTCTGACCAACGAATTATACATGACGTATACCTATTAATTCTACACGTTATGTTCCTAAAACATCGTCCTTATGATCTATAAATGAGAGACAGCAGACTTTTATAAAAATTCCGAATTGCTTTCGCTCGTAACTCGGTATGATCATAATTCAAAGAACTGCAAATTACCCGAATATGTGGAGTTACCTAAGTTGAAAGTTGGGGAACTGGAGAGTGACGGTGGGCAGTGGGAATACGGAAGATCAAATGCGGAGTACTAATAAAGGTACCTCAGGTACCTAAACATTGGTTCGTGTAACGAGATATGACCTCGCTAAAAGTAGACCTACTAACACGACGATTTGACTTACCTCATCTGACTATAAGAATTTACAAGTATTTACTTACTTAATGTCATATTATGTCTAACAATTTATTAAAGCGACTGGATATGATGCCCCGACTGACATGTTCTCGCGACTTGCTTAAGTAGTTCAAAAATATAACTGCCCTTCTGGTAGTGGACTGATTAGTTCCGGAGACCCCATATAATACCATTCTCAGATACCGCGACACCCACCGGTTAGCGAACCCCGGATTTCATCAAAACCTGCAGACCAAGAACCGCAGCGCCAAGGTCCCACCGCAGCAGTAATCATCGGCGGGATCAGAGATGGTGGGCCTCAAAGCAATGTCCTTGGACGGATAATCACAAATTGAGATCCAGGATTAAAGTTACAGGTGTTGGGGAAACCAAGCTATGACCCGGCAAAGCTCCATAACTGAAGCCATCGCCGCCATCAATGGCTGAGATATTCCTACCACTACTTACCTCTTGGCAAACACGGACGAGGCGCACCAAAAGCCCTCATGACAAGATCCCATGATAACATCCCAACGACTCTATAGGCAGGCTAAAAGGAAATAGAGGTTGCGAAGCTCGATGCAATAGCTTAGGGTCTCGATATTGAAAAATTATCTCCTCCTTGGTCACTTGGTTAGGTAGGTAGATACATCGAAGCGGAGCAGGAAAGTGAGCGCAAGGAGACGTCGGCAGATGATCTTCGGGGGGCGGATAATTCAAGCCTTATCGCCAAGACTCTTGACGGAAATCAAGACGAAGCTTAATTCTAGCTCTCAGAAGAGGGGAAAGCTTCATTTGTAATAATTCGAGTATGAGAGAGAAGGAAATGGGAGTGTGGGTGTTCGACTCTCATGGGTTAGGGTAGAAGAGGACCGAAGGGCAGCGACTATTTAATGAAAAAAATATTTTTGACCTAAGTTTGCGCATTGGTAATGTCATGTTTGCCTAAAGTTTGCGCTGCAATATTTTCCTTCAAATACAATTTAGAGAATGGTTTAAATAATACGTAGGTAATGTAAGTGTAAGTTTAAATAAAGTAAACTTTCAGCCATAGATCTAGGTTAGGTTAATGGGCTAATGAACTTATTAGGCTCACGTAAGTGGCGGCCGCGTGGCATTTTTTATAATTGAGCTAGTTGACATAAGAAACTCTTTGGAGATATCGGAAACAGAACGCTCCATATATCTAGGTACATTACATACATGATAATTTACCACTAGACGAATCAGAATGGATGACGGTATGTTAATAAGGAAAGGATGAACAAGCTTAGATCGGAAGAAAAAAAAGATACACAGTGCATTTAGCACAGTATCCTTAATGATCGATTACTGTACCCTATCAAGTAGCTTGTCCTGCCTTCCTAAGTCATGTTTTGAAACATTCCAAGGATATTTTAAGCATAGAACCTTGGAAAACCCCCGGCCTCCCCCAGGTTTGGCCGATTCATCGATTCATCACCTTCCATTATTTAGCATTATTTAGATTGATCGAAACCCAATCGGGCCGTCCCCTGGATTTCAAGCTAGAATCCAACAAGCTCCAACCAACTCCAGCCAGCTCCAACTATCCATTTCTTTTCTATTTTCTCTCTTTGTAGCATTGGATACTATTGCTAGATCTCCGTTGCTACCGAAATTAGATTCGAAAAGTTTTAGCGCCAGGGGCACCGCTCTGTCATAAACAAATGCAACGCAACGAAGTAATAACCTAAGCTTTGTTATTGCACGGACAATAAATCTTTTTAGATGTTGAGTCTAGATGAGTTAGACTTCTTGTGTATTGGACTCAAAATTTGAGTGTTGGGACTAATCTCCAAATGTTACGACAGGACATTAAAGAAAAAAAAATAAAAAAACTATCATCCGATAGTGGCTATTCCTAAAATTCCAGGGCTGTGGATTCGTAGTGCGAAGCAGTGTCAGATGGCCCCCAGATAGCCCCCAGTTTAAGTCGATGACTTACATGTGGCCTCGAATGTCTCGCGGCTCCAACGTCACATGCTTGAAACAACCACCTTTACTTGGAACACTCCAACTAATTTAGGATGGCCAGCGGCATCCAATCTCCTCTCGGCTCCTCCATCCTACCTATCACATCTTGCATGGTACCTGAATGGACGATTCCCTTTACAGTAGGAGGCTTCCAAGCCGCGGTAATGCCTGACCCTAAACCTGACCCTGAACATGTTCTAGCTCTCCTAGTCCTGGGAGCTGCCGCAATGAAAGGATGACCTTCGATGCATACGGCTCCACTACCCACTACCTTATACTTTGACAGACGTCCATATGCT